GACTGACTTAAACATGGAAGATTATTACTAGCAACGACTACGGGTGACGGGTGGCCAAGCCGGCTATGCCATCTCTCATAGGAAGGTTTCACAGCACCACAGACTTGCTTTATTCTGGATGAAGACTTGGAAGGTGGAACAGGGTAAAGGCCTTGGTGGCATCTTCCTCTAAGTAGAGGTATCTTCGTGGCTCGGTCCTTTACATAAAAGAATTTTGGATGAAGTTCAACATAAGCTAAATTATCGTGAGCAAGTTTATGAGCAGAAATCAAATCTTTTGTGGTTTCAGGAACATGTAGGACATTGTTCAACTAAAGATTTCGAACAGGGGTTTTAATAATGGACTGACCAACATGACTAATAGCCATACCTGCGCCACTTGCAGTGTGAACTTGATCATTGCCCTTGTATTTCTCCCGAATGATGAGCTTGTCTAGATCACTTGTGATGTGATCTGTTGCACCGGTACCAATGTACCAGTTTGAGTCCACACCGTAGGAGCTCGTCGCTGCTGCCACGAACTTCTCATCAGGCACGAAGTCCTCCTCGTACCTATGCCAGCAGTCGGCCACCACATGGCCGACTTTGAAACACAGCTGACAGCGCGGCTTGTTACCGCGTCCTCCTCCAGAATTTTGCGGCGCATTGCCGCGTCCCTTTCCGCGACCGTGGTTCGCACCACCGCGACCACGGTTGAAGCCGCCACCACGGCCCCCTTTGCTCACCGTATTCACAAATGAGTAGGAGCCCTTACGTTGTGTATGATCGAATCACAAGAACTAAGCCAACCAGAGGAGGGGGGTGAATGGTTGAGATACCCCAAAACCAAAAACTTTTAGCGGAAATAAAAGTTACCCTCGAATTCGATGGACCGCGGTCTGATCGAAGTTGTCGCGCCGGTCTGACCGCCTGGAACACGTCGGTTTGACCGATGTAGATCGATCGGTCGAACCGCCGAAGTCGCCTGTCGTGCCTGCTGCCGCCGCCGGTCTGACCGCTCGTATGCCGCCGGTCTGACCGCCGCTTGCCACTGGTCTGACCGCCGGTATATCGCCGGTTGGACCGCCGAAACCCGGTGAAACACAAACTGAAGAACTCTCAAAGTAGATAACAACTTTATTGCTTCTCTCTGTGTTTACAAAGTGCACCAACAGCACTCCTTACAAAAATCTCGACTAAACTCGAAACCCTAGCTAAACTAGCAACTCAATTGCTCTCAAAAGCGATACCGGGAAGCCTCATGCTCCCCCTCTATTTATACATGAGGTAGGCAGCCTAAAGCCACGAACCAAACTCATACTAAGAGTCCTAAACACCTTAGGAAACCTTCTAGTACAAGAAAGAAACTTTACATAACCAATCGTACCAAATTTGGACTCCTTCCAAATTCGACTCCGCATCCCATACGCACACAATACCTCCATCGTATGCCATATGGAATCTCCATCAACCACGTGCATCAACTCTAGCCTTAGTATCCCGCATGATATCTGACCACCACGGACATCGTCTTACCACCAAGCCGACTCCCGGTCCATCACCGCAAATACTCTCCCGAGGCATCGAGTCACCTACACATGAAACAAACAAAGAAACCATATTCCGAGACCAAGCTATCTCCAACTTGACTCATTGTTAGCAAACAACAGTATTACATACGTATAGTATCCATCTAGAAGCCATAACCATGAAACAATCACGGATATCCAAAGAAACAACCCGAAACCAAAACCGATACAGCATCGGCCGGTCAGACCGCGGGCCGGCCGGTCTGACCGCTCAACACAAGCCGGTCTGACCGGCTGTCACACCCTGAAAATTCAAAATTTATAAATTGTTGTTTAATTGGAATTTTTAGAAATAATTTTAAAAGTCTTGAAAAGAAGATCTAATTTTAATTAATAAATTCCAATATAAAATGGGGCCAGATAAAATTTCATTAAATACTTTGCTTAATTCTATATTTCCTAGATTTTTCTGGGATTTATTTGAGCTAAGGAAGTATTTTTAATAAATGGAATTGCATTTAAGAAATAATTTAAATTGAAAAAGGTTTTAAAAAGTCTCTTTTGGCTTTGGGCCGAAAGTCGGCCCAAAACCGCTCTCTCTCCTCGGCCCAGTCCGGCCCAGTCCGCAGCCGCGCGCGCGCGCGTTCGGTCGCTGACAGGTGGGTCCGACCTGTCAGGCCCTTCGTCAACCTTCGGCCGCCGCCGCCCGAAACCCTAGCGCGCCGCCGCCGCCGTTTCCTTCCAAATCCGGCCGTCCCTTTCCTTCTCCGGCCGAATTGTTTGAGGGGAAACAATCTCCGGGATCTCCTCTACCTTTTCTCCTTTGGAATCTTCGGCTAAATCGGTCTGGAATGAGTTTGATTCGAGGTCGATTCGGATCGGTTTCCCTCTCTCCAAGCCGAGGTTTCCTTCGCCGTTGCCGTCGCCGTGGGCCTTTGCCGCCGCCTCCGAGCCCCTTTAAAAGGACCCCCGGTGTCTCCTCTACCCGCCGCCACCCTCGCCTTCGCCTCTCGTCGTCGGAATCGTTCTAGCGCCGTGTGCCCTAGCTTTGCCGTCGCCGCCGCCGCTCCAGCCGTGCGCCGCCGTCGTTTCAGCCGTCGCCGTCGCTCGGGAAGACCACCGTCGTGCTCGCCAAGTCGTCGCCGTCCTCGTCCGCTGCTTCGCCACCGCCGAAGACCGCCGGAGCATCGCCGTCACCGTCGACCCGAAGGTTGCCGCCGCTTCCTCCTCGTCGCCGTCGTCGTCCGTTCCTCCTCCGCCGCCGTTGTGGTCACCGGTGAGTTCGCCGCGTCGTCCTCTACGTGCTGGTGCCCTCCGTTTGCGTCCTAGTGCCGCCGTTCGCCGGCGAGCGTGCGCCGTTCGAGCCGTCTCCTCCGCCGAGCCGCCGCCGCTGTCGGTGACGTCATCGCTGACGTCATCGGAGTCGTCTCCCGTGAACCGCCGTGGACCCGATCGATCTCGGCCGTCCGTTTTGGTTTGGATCAATCTCGGCCGTCCGTTCGCGTGAACCGCCGCCCGTGCGCCCGGTCCACCGAAACCCTAGCCCGCTGACGCAATAAACCATCTTTTCCTTTTCAAAAATAATTCATTATTGCGTCATAATTCAATTTAAACCGATATAAGTGTTTTAATCCGGTTTAATCTTTAAAAATTCATAACTAATTCATCTTAGCTCCGATTTAGTTGGTTCAAGTCTCTAAATTTTTCTAAAATTGAGATCTACACATTAAAAATATCCACATATATTGTTCATGCTTGTTTATGTGCTGTTTTGGTGATTTTGCTCTTTTCTGCTTAGATTCCGTCGTTTCCGGAGAGTCCGTTTTCGTCGGAGAAGAGTTTGAAGAGTTCCAAGGCCAGCAAGGCAAGTCACACAGATCCCAAACAACCCTTTGAGCATGTTGATCCTATTTAAAGCTATTGTTTCTTTTCAACTATTGCATTTATTTTCGAATGTCATTGGGTGGAATTAACCTATTGTTTGTTATAGCCCTTTTGTTCTTGATTACCTTATTCCTTGATACCTTGGGTTATAATAATTTGACTAGTTGAGCTTTATTTATATTGGTTCAACTAGATATTAGATATAATTGCTTAGCCCTGTTTAGAAACATTAGCACACTTATGGGATAACTAATGACTCACTATTATTTCATGATGGTTTATTGATAGTTCACGATGGTTAATCGTGATTAGTTAATTAATTAATGTGCCAACTAAAACCTGGTAATGGTGGGTTGTGAGCACATGGTTTTGATGGTCGTGCTCATGACAATTAAGGACCGGTTCACGAGTTTCGGTTGTGAAACATTAATCGTGCCAACCACAAGCCAGCATGGGCAACGGCTTTATCTTTTGTATAGCATGGTTCATTGCGGGGCACCAGACTGAGAAGTGGCGGAGATAAGCCCACGGGGGTCGCTGGGGAGTCCATGCCTTGTTTATAAGGGGGTGATTATGATCCAGGAAGGTGCGCTGCAGTGGATTGTGTTGTACGAGGGGTATTGTCACAACTCCTTTCCGAGGTACCGTGGTGGTATTGAGGCACATGGTGACATGATGTGGGGTTGTGTCTTGTGGGTACAGTGGTACACCTCTGATCAGAGTAAAACTATTCGAATAGCCGTGCCCGCGGTTATGGGCGGGTCTAACAATGTCTTTCGTGATTAGTCTCACCCTTCTCACCATAGTAAATGATGCTATAACTGGTAATAATTTGTTTAGCTCCTGGTTTGGAATGGTATATTCCTGGTTTGGAGATAGAACTGTGCAGCCGGGATGGTTGTTCAGTATGGTTGGGCCTATACAACAGGGTATGTTGTATAGCGTTGGATTAATATTGTTTAACTATTACTCAACTGTTTTATTAAAATTCTCAAATGTTTGCTAAATGCTGTTTTTGCAAATGGAACCCTATTATGCCATCCTTTGTTATCCTGTGCACTTGCATATTTGCTGCGTGGCTTGCTGAGTATGTCATATACTCACCTTGCAATCATTCATCAGAGGAAGAGTTCTACAGTGAAGCTGATGGAGTGGAGGATTAGGTGTAGCCTTGGTCAAGTTGCCTGTGGAGTAGAGCCGTCCGTGCCGTTTATTTTATTTTCCGCTGCTTAGATCTTTATTGATTGAGAGGAACTATCTACCTCTGTAATGACATTTTATACGTTTATTAATTAGAGTAATAATTGTACTCTATTATCAATTTGTTATTGTGTGCCTCGGCTGATTCCTGGACGAGGGTTCACACACATGTAAGCGTTTGGAATTTTGGATAGAAATTCCGGGCGTGACACCGGCAACCTCCGCCCGGTCGGACCGGACCACATAAAATAACAGCAAATCCGATCATCACCTGAAAATTGATTATCTCCAAAACCACTTCGACAATAATCTCCAAATATCAAAACCAATAATCACAGATGCCAATTGTTCATCACAGAATAAGAATCAAAACACACGTTGATCTTACACGTTGGAGTTCCAATCTACTTTCAAAGTTTAAAAGCTGGGCATACAACTCAGAAACAGTAATTGGTTCTATCCTAGTAACAAGAGCAGAGACAACTGAATTGTAATCTTCATCTAACCCATTTACTATGTAGGCGACCATATCATCATCGTCCAGTGGTTTTCCAGAGGCAGCAAATTCATCTCCTAAGCTCTTCATCTTCCCAAAGTATTCCGCAATGGAAGACGTACCTTTCTGCATTGTGGTAAGTGCGAGTCGCACGTTGATGGCGCGCGCTCGTGTCTGAGAAGAAAACATCTCCTCAATGGCCCTCCAGGCCTGCGCTGCATTCCTTGATGCAGCAACTTGTGTCATCACCTCCTTGGATAAGGAGGAGAACAGGTACCCAAGAACCTGCTGGTCTGTGGCCAGCCAGGATTCATATGCAGGGTTTGCCGTCGTCTTCGTCTTGCCATCTTTGTCGGTGGTGACGAGTTCGGCGACCGGCGGAGCAGCTTCGCCGGTGATGTAGTGCTCAAGCCGCGCACCTCGGAGGGTGGCAAGGACTTGCGCCTGCCAGATCGCGTGATTCTGCTTGTTCAGCCTTTCAGGGACCTGAAGGCCGATCAGCGGATTCACGGCTGTAGTCGAGGATGAGCTCGCCATAGCAGATCGATCTAAGAGCCTTATTGCTCTGATACCATGTAGAAACGAGTGAATGAATGAGGAAGCGTGATACCCTCGTGAGGGCCGCGTGTGCGTGTTAAATAGAGCCATCAACCGGCTAGGAGATTACAGGGTTGTTAAGTTCAGTTGCTACTAAGGAGGAGATGTAATCTAGATAAGATACAACAACTAATGATTAGTTACAGCTAACTACTCCTCCTCAGCCGCACCAAACCAACTCAGGATTACATGATAAGATTACACACGCACACTACATTATCTAACAGGATTTGGCCGGCGGCGGAGCTCGAGGCGCGGCCGCACGAGCGATGGATCCGGCCGGCAGCAGCTTGGAGCGTGGCGACGGATCCTGCGACGCAGCTCGGGGCACATGCGGCGGCTCGGTTGTAGGCCATGGATTCGGCCGGCGACACCTTGGGGCATGGGTGGCGGCTCGGGTTGTGCGTGGCGGTTGCTCCGGGCACGGCCCACAGATCCAGCCGTCGGCAGTAGTTTCGGGCACGGGTGGCGGGTTCGGGCGTGGGCGGTGGAGCTCGGGGCGCAGGCGGTTGATCCGGTGGAAGGCGGTGATCTAGGGCGCAAATCCAGCTAAGTCCTCCCATCTCGAGGCGTAGGTGGTTGATTCGGTGGCGGGCGGTGACCTAGGGCGCAAATCCAGCTAAGTCCTCCCTCTCCCACTCCACTGACAACTACCAGCACGGCAGCGCTACGACGATAACAATCGGCAGGGTGACGGTAACAATTGGCAGGGCGATGGTCGACGGTTTCATCTGCTGCATGTATTGACGTTTGCTTGTTGAAATGGAGTGAAAAATTGATGTGGTGTTCTCTAGAGGTGGGTTTGAGTATGGATCTGATGTGGATTTGAATTGATTGAATTTGGATTGGATTGGATTTGAAATTGTAGCTCTGGATGTTGATTAATTTTTTGACAAAAAAAAATCTTTTTGCTGGCGGTCTGGATGTTGATTAATTTTTTTGGCATTTTTTTTTTGCTGGTGGTCCTCTTATGGGTACACCTGATAAAATTAATTTTTGCAAACGGTTCTCTTAAGGGTCCACCTGTGAAAATCGATTTTCGCACTTGGATCGCACTGCCAGCGAAAATCTTCACTGGCTTTGCTTGCGAAAATCATTTTTGTAGTAGTGATCACGGATGCTTATCGGCGATGTACTTGAGTTGCAATCCATCACCAGGGAGGCTTACCCATGGTAGCGTATATTTGTAACCCGTCATTGATGTGTTTTTTCTAGAAAAAAAATTAAAATTGTAATATTGGCTAGCCTTTGGCAATTGCTAATCTTGCTCGCTGAAAAATAACATAAACATATATAACATTGCTATTTCGCAGCCGCAGGATATTTTTGGATTCGTCAGTGAGCCGTCGATTTTTCGCGTCATGATTCATGCATCTTGCGGAGTTCGGAAAAGGGCTAATCAATGTTTGTTTAGTTGTTCTTCCCATTAACAAACGTTTGCTCTAGCTCACCGAGGCAGACTCACCGAGGCAGACTGCGAGATTTATTGTTTGTATTTATTACGATCACAGATAAATCCGCAAGCGTACAGATATTATTGTAACATTTCACCCGTGAGTAATCAGGATATCGTATCATATTTGCTTTTTTAGGAAGGTGATGGTTTAAAAAATTGCAACATCCCAATTTCCGTGTAACCATTAAAAAACTATTTTAATAAAATCCTTTGTTCGAAAAAAATTGGTTCTTTGCGTGTATTTAGTATCTAATGCCAGAGATCTCAATTAAACCGATCCTTGTAATGAACATTAATCCCCGAGAACCCTTCCCAAACATACTATTGGAGTTCGAAATCAAATCCTCCTTTGAAATCCTTAGTTCTCCGTCGATTCAAAATTATTCAAATTCATTCATGATCCAAACATAACCTCGAATAAAAAAAATATAAGTGACCTTCCATCCTTTGAGTTCCTTGTATTATCATAAATTCATAATCCCTCCAAATACTCCTTCGAAATCTCTTGTTATATCCTATTCCATATCCACCTTGTCCAAAACATGGATAGAGACTCTAGTACAATAATTTTTCCTTAAACATTAAGAGGATCCAAATAATAACTCAAAATTCAAATATCCCCTCCGTTACTATCTTTACCTTTTCCAAATTAATTTAAATAAGTCCAAATCCCAATCATTCCAAAAAGTTCCTTATATTCTTGTGTTATCCCCTTTCCTCCAATCTACTTAAAATATTGTTTGAAGACCATGAAATCTCCTGGAACCGTCCATTGAAAATTAGAAAAATTAATCCAAACATGTGTCCACTTGAAAATGTTTATGAGTTCAAACCTACTGCACCAATCGATTTGTTACCTCTTCTATTGCAGGAAAGAACTAACATGGATGCTTCAAAGCGTGCTGCATATGTGAAGAAGATTCATGAAAAGACTAATGAAGAAATTGAAAAGAAGGTGCGCAGTAATGCTGGAAAGGTGAACAAGCATAGAAAGAAAGTGGTCTATGAACCCGGATATCTTGTTTGGGTTCATCTACGTAAGAAACGATTTCTAGAAAGACACAAATCAAAATTGATGCCACGAGGAGATGGGCCATTCAAAGTGTTCGCCAAAATCAATAACAATGCATACAAAATCGATCTTCCAGGCGAATATGGTGTAAGTGCGTCATTCAATGTTGCCGATCTTACCCTATTATGGTTTTGATGAAACAGAGTCGAGAACGACTCCTTTTCAAGAGGGGGGAGGATGATGTGCCCCAGCCCTGTCACATGAACACTCAAGACAATCATCTGACTTAGCCGCTGATGAGAGACAATCCGTTACACCATTTCAAGGACCGATCACACGTAGCCGTGCAAAGAAACTACAACAAGAGGTGAACTCGCTCCTAGCTGAAACATATTTCAATATTGATGCGAATTATATACTACCTAAATAAGTACTTTGCTATTACTTAGGTTTACACATGCACAAGACTTGCTGGGCATCGGCGACGAGCTAGAAGATCAAAGTAATGATGGGTTACGTAATGACGACGACCATTTACGTATGCTGATTTTGGAGTACACTGTCTCCAAACATTTGCTCCAACTTCCAAGGGATGTGTGACCCAGCCAGTCAACTTTCTCCATGCTTAATATATATGGTTGGAAAGATAATTAAGTCTAGTTTCACCTCCAACAAACGGCTCGTCATTTCGACTTCCCAATAAGGAGTAATGGACAAATCATTGAGGACTGCTCAGAAGCCAAATAGACGCGCGAGTCTTCTCGGGAATTCACTTATTGTGACATTTGAGCTAGCCTATGTCCAGTAAACTCCCAAGACCTTTCATTCCCATCTAGGAGGGTTGTTCCTAATATAAATATCCCCTATGTTTTATCATTTTGGAGACTTTTGACAATGAGAATATGAACCCCTTTTGTTCAGCTGTGTGCTAACAAATTCAGAGAGAGATCTCTATCCCTTTGCTCTTGTGATTTCCTTGTGAGATTATAGAAGTGGCGTTCAACGCCCCCCAATTGGTGCTCCTGGTCCCTTCGAGGTTTTTCCTTGATTGATTCCAGGTTGTGTTGGTTGGTAACTTAGAGTGTAGTTGGGCGAACCCTCGATTTAGGTTGCCGTAATAGAGATGGTGGTTGGCTTCGAGTACGATCGTCAGGTTGTACTATTATCTTGGCTCCTTGCAGCTAGTTATCTTGGTCTCTTTGAGACTAGCTATCGGTTCTTGATCCTACACCGTGAAGATCGGGATACCATCCCTACTTGGGTCGTATCACAAGTGCTTGATAGATTTAAACTAGCCGATGAACACTTTTCAGAGTGATTGATATAGAAACCCTAAACTCAGAAAGCAGAACAAATCAGAGCAAGAGCATATATATCCGATAAAAAATACAAGCAAAATGAGAACTAGTATATCTAAACTCAGAAAGCAAAGCAAATCATAGCAACAGCCAATATATCCGATAAGAAACGCAAGCAAAAAGAGCAACTAGTATATGGGACCTAACCGAGGAAGTACTAATTTCTCGCTGATGCAAAGGAAGGATTTTGATGGAACTTACTTTCTTGCTGGAGATCGAGACCGATGTAGCCCAAATTCCAAAACAAGAACTCGTCGCGAGTAAAACTAGGGTGCCGATGCGTCGAAAGTTGTACATTGAACTATTGTTGTTTACAAAGACCCTGGGTATACATATCTATACCCATAGGCAATACTAAGTCCGACTCTATCACGATCAAATTGATCTAGAACTCCATCTCTAATTAAGGAGACTATTATAGACTCCAACTACGACAAGACTTATATCGGCTAACCATTACTTAAACATATCTTAGTCCGATTCTGACACGACTCCATTGGTTCAGAACTCTATTAACGAAAATAGAAACTACGATACACCTTCCTTAACTCCGAAGCTTACCCAATCTTGGATAAATTTGTCAGCCAAATATTCTAAAATCACGACGTGAATTCTTCCTTTGACCTGATCTTGACTAACTGAAATTACCAAATTTTGCTGTTAACACCGGTGTATTTGTACGGCTAGGCGTCTTCCTCTCCAAGTAGAACTCAAATAACCCTTGTAAGACACGAGCCAAGGAAACCTTGCCTCCTCCGGGTCAGACTCTCATGTCTTCTATCCCCATGGAAGCAATTTTCTTAGACTCGCTTTATTCCTATATTTGAATATACCTTTCTGTATAATATTAGGTGTGCGGTATTTTCGTATGTCATGAATCCAAGTATAGGAGGTATGGCTTATCCGTAACATTGACAAATACCTTCCAATTTACCTACGAGATGGGTGTTTACCTTCAAAATAGATCTAAATAGGCCCAGAGGTTGGTTTGATCTCTAAATCGGCTCTGTAGCCAGTTTAACCTTTTATAAACCCATCTTGGTCGAGAGATTTTCTTGATCGAGGTGGTTGGCAACTCGGTTAACATTGTAAATCTTTAGGTGAGTTCATGTTGGTTGGAAAAGACGCAAACAGTTTGTTCTGAAAAACATTTCGTTCTAGCCACGAGACAGGTGTTTAACCTAATTTGTTTTAATCGGCTCTGTTAACTGGTTTTGATATCTAAACCCACCTTGGTAAGGAGCTTCTCAAGATCAAGGTGTTTGGCGATTCCGTAACACCACAACTCCGCAAGGCTTGGTGACCGATTATAGTGGTGACCGAAAATGGTGTCAACACGATATTTGGCGACTCCGCTAGGGAAGTCTACATCAACATCATGAGCAAGCCCAAGGAGGTAGATCCAAGCAATGTCATTCCTCTTACCATGGAGGATTTGACCAAGGAGGAACAACAAGATATTGAGAAGCAAAAAATGGCCTTCAAAATCCGCCAAAGCGTTTCCAAAACAAAGCAATGCTACCTTGAATCATTGTCTCCGAAGAGGTAAATTCCAAGTCCAATGATATATCCCCTAATTTTGAAAAATTTGTGGCTAATTCCGCAGATGCATCTATAAATGCTACTTTCAACAAATAGATTAGATGCTGCTATATGATCTCTTTCTTTGATAGTAGGATGGAAAAGATGACTCTGCTTGATGGCCAATTTGCTATCACATGATTCGAAAACTAGCTCTAGTGAATCTCCATATCTTCAACCATATGAGAGAAAAATAATTTTGAGAGAATAGCTTCAATCATATGCATCAAAGTTGTTTAACAAATACAGATCTTTTGTTGAAACACGAGTTTTGGAATTTTAGCCAGTTATTATAAAGCTAGGGCATACATCATATACATATAACACTACTACATAAACGATTTTCTCATACCGCTAAAACGCATTTTCCAAGCAGCAAAACAAGCCGCTTGTGAGCAAATGTATGTGAAAATGGGGATTTTCACAAGTGGTTGGCCAGCCCGTACGTGAAAAATCAAGCTTTCATATTTTGATTAGCTACACCACTTTTTTTTGATGAAATATATACGAGCTTATGGTGTATAGGATTTGGACTCGAGACCTCATAGTCCACACACATCCATTTTACCATCTCATTTTCAAGTACTTGTTTTGAATTAAGATGCTATTCTTTTGACTTCACCTCCCCGAAACTTGAAATGCTCATTTGATCTTCTAAATGATCTTAAATGAAAATATCATCACTTACGAAGTTGTAGGTCTGGTTGAGCTCGACATCCCTCATTGGAGGTCGTTTGAAATATAGATTTGAGATTTATAAAAATAGATCTATAAGATCTTGTCGTAACTTTTTGGACCTCTAAATAATCTCAAATGAAAAAGTTGTCATTTATAAAGTTGTAAACCTCGTCAAGATGTACAAGTTTGACATAAAGCTTATATTCATCGCACTTTATATGAAAAAAGTTAGGTGTAGATATGTTTTTTTTTTTGGAAAACTGATTTTCACAGGTAAGTAGATTAAGCCGCTCACCTGTGAAAATGCTACGATGTACACTTAAGCTACCTGCATGTGAAATTGAGGTCATTTTCACATGTGTGCGGCTTAAGTGTCCACCTATGAAAACCGGTTTTCTTATAAGTCCTGACAGAGGATTCTCTTCACATTTTTACAAGCTGGTTTTCTTTTGGATCGTTTATGAAAATAAAGCAGGGGTGCCTGCAGAAATGGTTTTTTATTAGTTCAACTTGCATATAATACAAGATCATGCTAGGTACAACATCATTATCTACGTATACATATACTATTACATTATTGAAGTAATATATTGTTATAAATAAACCATGACATAAAGTCACAATCACCAATCTTCATATTATCACCGTTAGAAGGTACGCTTTGGTGCTTCATATTATCACCTTAATTATCTTAACTTCTAACACACAAGAACCATTTTCTTCTTGTTGGACTATACACTTATCAATATGTTGCAATTGTTGTGCGCGACTCAGGGTCGCCTGTAATAACGCGTGGGGTTTCATGCATCTTGTTCATTACATGCCGGACCATATTTCTTAGCTTCCAATCCAACATATGTCGTCTTGATTGAATGCATCTTGTTGGCTATTTGTTTCATGTTCATGCGATCACTTGGTAATTTGCGCGTACAAGAAAGCGCAAGTTGTAGCAGAGATATCAAGCACTGGTGGACAGCATTTTCCAGTGTCATATTTGTTTGATTGGAGTCCATGGACTTTTCTGCGAGTCGAGCATCAATCACTTGAAATATCTGGTGTGGAAAGTTACTCTCGACAAAGCTGATAATGTCGAGTCCGTCTTTGAACATAGGATCAGTCGGTCTTTTTCCTGTTATAAGCTCCAGGATCACTATCCCGAAACTATAAACATCCCCAGAAGTAGATGGATGACCACCTCCCGCGTACTCTACATAGGTATGAAGAGAAAGTACAGTTATCTATTTAGCTGTCTATAACAAAAGCTGAAACTGAACTCAGAAGTAGCCATATTAATTACCTGGAGGAATATACCCTATGGTACCCTTAACACCGACTGTACTATTCGAACCTGTTGATGTCGACCAAGAGTCGATATAAAATCTTGCAATGCCAAAATCTCCCAAAAGAGCATTCATGTCATCAGCTAAAAGTATATTGCTGGGTTTCAAATCACAATGGATAGTTGTTCTTCCGCATTCATGGTGTAAATAGTCCAGTGCATCGGCTATGTTAACACATATGCTAATTGTTTGTCTTAAACCCAAACGTCCGGGAGCTTTCCCACCCTCTTTGTCATGTATCCAAGTGTCCAAGTTGCCATTAGGCATGTACTCGTAAACTAAAGCTTTGAAAACGTTGCCCGTACTGTCCACGGTCGAGCATGCAGTTATGATTGGAAGAAGATTTCTATGTTGAATGCTTCTGAGAGCTTCACATTCCGATATGAAGCTTCTTTCGGCACCTCGCATCTCAAGGTCAAAAACCTTCACGGCTACTTCCAACTTACATTCCTTCAACTTACCTCTGTACACCGTACCATAGCTTCCTTTGCCAATAAGGTTAGCCTCCGAGAAGTTTCTTGTGGCTTGAGCTAGATCATTATATGAGACTTTAAGGAAATTCTCACCAAAAGATTGCGAGGATATATATTTTTCTCTTGGCTTCATCTTCTCAAGAAGTAAGAAGTAGACCACTAATATGAGTGACATGAAGCCAAATATAGGGATCAATACTCTAATCAAATAGTACTGTGTTTTTCTTCTCTGGGAAACAACTTGGCATGGGGGCATACGGAGATCCATCACTCCTCCACATAGTCCTATGTTTCCCTGGACCGAAACAACAGTAGGATTTGCAAATATTCCAGTCATTGGTATTTTTCCTTGGAGACGATTGTATGAAAGGTCCAGTTTGCTCATGACTGGTAGATCATTTAGTGTAGTCGGAATTGTGCCCGACAAGCTGTTATGGGAAAGATTGAGTACGCCCAGGCTCTTTAGGTCGCCAAAAGTTACTGGGATATTGCCAGTAAGGAAGTTATTGCCCATTTGGATGTTTGCCAGGTCTTTACACTGGCTCAAAGTGCCAGGGATCTCCCCAGTAAGCTTGTTTTCTGATAAACTTAGATTTATTAGTTGTTTAAGGTAACTAAGCTCTGGAGGTATGACACCTTCGAGATTATTATGACTTAGATATAACTTCTGGAGTCCTGAAAGGTTTCCCAATGAGGATGGTATGGGACCATCAAATGCATTATATGCTAGTGAAAGCGTTGACAAACGAGGAAGCTCTGCTATAGACGATGGAATCGACCCGCTAAAGTTGTTCCTGTGGAGAAGTAATTTTTGCAGTTTTGTAAGCTTTGGAACCCACTCATCTATTTTGCCAGTAAGATTGTTCAAATCTAGACTTAACCTAAACAGGCCCTGAAGGTTTCCTATGCTTGCTGGAACTTCTCCTGATAGCTTATTTTCACTCAGCACTAGCTGTTGAAGTTTGAGCGGAAGGTCCCCAATTGAATTCGGTATTTCTCCTTGTAGCTGATTTTGAGCCAGTGACAACAGTTCTAGATTACTACAGTTTCTCAACGCGTGTAGGAACTCCCAGCCTTGGCCATCAGAAGCCTCTAGGCTATTATTTTCGAGACTAATATAGGAGAGTTTAGAAAGCTTTCCGAAAGAGCTAGGAATTTGCCCGGTGAAGTAGTTGTTTGCCATACTTATTTCTGTTAGCTGCAAAGCATTTCCTAGAGAAGATGGGATTTGACCTTGGAACATATTGTAATCCAAGCGAAGAATTTGGAGATTAGGTACCATATCACTAATGTTTTGTGGCAATACCTTGCCGAACATATTGTATTCCAAGCTTAAAAGTTGAAGAGAAAGGCTGGAGAAGTTAAATGGGATATCACCCGATAGCATGTTTTGACCTAGGGCCAAAATTGTCAAGTTCGGCAATTGCCAAAGCTTGTCTGGAATGCCCCCTTCGAATCGATTTGTATCAAGATAGATTTCTACCAAGGTGGTGATGTTGCCAAGGGCCTGCGGGATGGTTCCAGTTAGCTTGTTCGCAGAAAGATAAAGATAAGCTAGATTGGACAGAGAGCCTAAATTTGGAGGAAGTGCACCAGTTAGGGCATTTCCTGAGAGGTCTATGTACGTTAAGCTGGAACAATTTGTAAGTTCATCAGGAATTATCCCTGTCAAATTGTTTTTATACAGATAGAGTGCCTGAAGTTGCTTAAGATTGCCAAGGCGAGGTAAGGAGCCAAGTAAGTTATTATCGCCGAGGTCAAGTATATTAAGGAAGGATAGGTTTCCGAGAGAGGACCTTATTTGGCCTGTCAAACTTTGGCTGGAGAGATTGAGCGCCATGACGCGCCATGGCCCAGTGGAGGTGCACTTGACACCTTGCCACCTACAGAAATGTGTGCTGGTGTTCCAAGTGGCCAAGGCTCCATATGGATCGTTGGTGATGCCCTTCTTGAAATCAAGCAGTGAGAGCTGATCGGCTCTGTTCCCACGGCAATCGACGTTGCCAATCCCATGACATAGCAGTATGAATGCTAGTAGTATAATGGCCAGTTTTGCAGTTTGTGTATCACACGTGAGGCCCATGTTACCTGCAAAAATATACAACCATGAACATTATGGCATGCTGCCTATGCTAACCGATCGAGGCAAATGGTCGCTTATGTGATCATCCACGAACACATCTGACTTTTCAAAGCTTAAAAGCAGAACAAAACTCAATTTTTCAAAAATATTCGCACTTCACTTTGAGCTTCTATGATTTACCTCAAGTGATCGATCCTGCAAATATCAATAATGATGAGGAGAGAGAATGGAGCACCTTCGGTCGGCCGGAGCTCAGCAGCCTGTTCTGCTTGGTGTCTATGGTGCCGCTGGGTGTGGTGGTTTGTGAACTCTGAACTTTGCTCAGCAGCCTCCCAGGTCCCGGGGGTTTAAAAACGGTTTTACAGCATTGTCGCATCCACTCACTTAATTGTCACTCCTTATCTCAGCTTGACCGCCACTAGAGGCAAGACCTGGAGTCCGTCAAACCTGCCAGTTACTGCAACTTTTCACCTCGTCGGCTCATCACCAAACGCTGCTGTCCCTGTTTGATCTGGACAAGGTTGTTGCGGCATGTCCAGCTCGAACCTCGAATCCGATGGCCGTACTATTCATCTATCCCCCTACTTTTCAGCCGGAACCGGACAGAGAAATTCTGCGCTGATATGCGACAGCCGCGACCGGTCTCGAAGGCTTGTATGCAGATAAGCTTTGAGCACATGAACGGTTTACCTTTCAAGATTCTCGTTCCACAAATTCATTTTGGTTCTTCCAGAATTTGTTTCTGCGGTCAGGATTCGTTCGTTGACAGAGCAGCGGGTCTAGCAAACTTGTATGTATTCGATTTGGATAGCAGTGCTACATACGAATGCCGTGTCATCCACGGCTATGTCACCATACTGATTATATGAATATCTCAGGAAGTGGTGAAATATCAGCCGTGACCACCAACCCAATGAACAGGTCGAAAGCACGTTGGTTTGAATATGAAATCAATACCAGATGTCTGGAAATAGTTGCGTGCATAGTCTTGGCGTAGTTCATCACATTTATAAAAATCAAGTTCATATTAATGACAGGAGAAGAAAAGGCGAGAGAATGGTTTTTTTTTCCAAGTCCCTTATATTGCTCTCCCTACTCTGGATCTCTGGTTTTGTACTTCACAGTCAAGTTGGAGATTGAATTCAATTAAGTGTTACACTACAAGAAATACCTTTGTTATTGTATCAGTTTAACTAGCAGCGTGGCCTGTGCAAATGCGTGGTAAGATCTATTTTAGGTAGTAGGTAGTATCATGCAAATTATGCTAACTAAATTAAGTACAATCATATCTTATATACAATTATATATAGATTGATCTATCAGATTGTAATATGAATTATTTATATCACACGATATAATGCTTTCTTTTTTGCTCTATTAAGATAATAATTTTGAGTGACTAGAGCAAACGTTTTCGAGGGTGGTTTTTTTTTTCCAAGTCCCTTATATTGCTTTCACTACTCTGGACCTATGGTTTTGTACTTCACAATCAAGTTGGAGATTGAATTCAATTAAGTGTTACACTACAAGAAATATTTTTGTTATTGTATCACTTTAACTAGCAGCGTGGCATGTGCAAATGCGTGTTAAGATCTATTTTAGGTAGTAGATAGTATCATGTAAATTATGCTAACTAAATTAAGTACAATCACATCTTATATACAATTATATAAATCGATCAACCAGATTGTAATATGAACTATTTATATCACACGATATAATGCTTTCTTTTTTTTCTCTATTAGGATAATAATTTCGAGTGACTAGAGCAAACATTGTCTAGCTAATTTTGGTGCCATGACGACGATGTGTTAACCATCGTAAGACAGAGAAACGCCCAGAGATCTTCTGGCTAGCTTCACAAGGTAGTGGACTAGTTGGTATAGATTCGAAACATCACCTCTTATATTTATTTGATATTAGGTCTTTCCTTAATATTCACGTTTTTTTAAACCATCATAAGCCATATATAATGGTAGCAAAAAAAAAATTAGACCAAGTTAATTCGAAAATTTAAGGCCGAATATTTTTGCTTTTTTTCTCGTGAAATCTGCCTAATATTTTTCTTTTTATATTTTGCCTAATATTTATTTTTCTTCTTGCTATTATGCCCACAAAGCTGGTTCGTGCCTCTTGTAGTTCAGTTTGTGCAGTATCCCATCAAATCTTTTGGGCCATTGATACATAGTTTATACCATAACTTCTTTTTTATTTTCTTAGGTATGCTGGTGTCCACCCCACCATCCTCATGGATTCAATGTTTATTATATTAATCTAAAATATCAAATAATATGTGTCCAAATATGCAAATTTTAGTTAGCTTCTGCCATGCCAAAACCATTCACTACAGAGGAAATTTAGGTCAAAATTTTAGAAAACTACAACTATTTCATCAAAACTATCAATTTGTTGCAAGACATTTCAAACAAGCAACAGTATTTATCATAGGACCACATCTTCTTTTTACAAGTTTGGACCTACATGTTACATATGCAATATTCATGCATGCTTCTGCAAGTTAGGCACATGTGTCATATACACATATATACAGGGATATATACACTAGTTACTAGTATAAGCTTTCTGATAAAATTGTTTGCTATTAATGCAGTTTTATAAAATATCTTATGAAGTGATAGGTTATTGTAACTTATTTCTAAATTGAGAAAAACCAGTTAGCAAAAAAAGGCTAAACCGAACTATAAATTAAACATCAGAATGAAAGTTGTTCAACCCCATCCTATTTCATCTCCGATCCAATGCATCATCTCGTTCCTTGACGAAATAAAACAAAGCATAGCACAAAATATGTGTTATCGTATTGGCGCAAACCACGCTTAAGCACGCATTGAAACTGAAATCCACCAAGTAGACCATTCCCCCAAAGCAACGTTCATGATGTGCTCGAACACTACCATCGTGCCATATGCCATCGCTGCAACATAACGTGGCCGGGCACCATAAGGAGTGCTTTTGCCACCGCAATGAACTTGGCAGCCGTAGGAGGATCATGGGTTTGTTTTCTTTAGAAAAAAAGATGAAATAAAAAACTTACTCTCTCCGTCCCAAAATATAAGTATTTTTAGACTCGACACAGTTTTCGAGATGCTATTTTGACCAATAATATCTATAAAAATAAGGTGTTTTAAATAAAAAGAATGGTATATTATTATAGTTTAATTAATGATAAATCTAGTAACATCAATTTCACATGATTGATATTTTTTTATTTTTTTTATTAATAGTCAAAGTTAAAAATAGTTGACTTGACACTATGCTAAAAATGGTTATATTTTGGGACAGAGGGAGTATAAGATTCACCGTGAGTTACAATACAAAATCTTTACCTATGTACTCCCTCTGTTTCAGATTATAAGTCGTTTTGACTCTGGTCAAAGTCAAACACTCTAAGTTTTATCAAGTTTGGAAGTAATATTGTACAATACCTAATTAGTTTCATTAAATCTATAATTGGGTATATTTTTATAATATATTTGTCTTGGGTTAAAAATGTTACTACTTTTTCCTGCAAATTTAGTCAAATTTAGAGTTGTTTGACTTTAACCAAAGTCAAAACGACTTATAGTCTAAAACGGAGGGAGTAGTTTTGTCATACCTTGGTGCAATGGATTGTATAGGATAACTAGTGAGAGATCACGCGTGTTGCTGCGAGACTTCTGTATGATAGATAGAATACGTTAGGTGTAACATGCATCTAACTGCTTGTACTATATACACGTATATATTGTTCTAAATTTGTACATCACTTGAACATTAGGTGCAACTAATAGCTGTGATTTAAATATATCTTTCAACTTTTTTCTATAACTTTGAAAAATTCTAATTGCTGGTTGGATTGGGTAATGTGTTTCCAAGTGCTCTTGGTTTGAGCCAGGTCATTAGAAAGAAAGATTGATGACATTCATCACTTCCATGCTTATAAATTAGGCTTTTCAGGCCTTCTATAAAAAAAATAGCAAGATATATTACTCGAGAATTAACTGAAAAAAATATTTTATTGGTTGCAGTGATTAAGGTAGTACTCCTACTCCGTAGGAACATTGATAAAAAAATCAGCAAGATATATATATATATGTTTATGATATAGGCAAAAATTGAAGTGTGTCAGATTATAGTTAGAAGACCAGAGAAACAAAGAACACATGAAGAGGGGACAAAATAGTAGCATATGAGTATTTATTCATGAGTAAAATTAAAACTTATTGGAATGGACTAATAAGCCTAGGGAAGGAGTTATTTACGCACCATATGAGGAGCAAACACGGTAGCTAGCGAAAGATCAAGAAAACCATCGGTGACAGCCCGTGATGGTAACTTCAGTAGAAAGAATAATGCCTCTGCCTCGCGCGCGAAAACAAATTGAGGTCACCAGCTATTAACTAGTTCCACGATGATTTGCATTGCTGCCTGCCTGGCTAGAAACGGGTTTCACGATGAATTGAGGACATCAGAAGGGGAGATGAAAGAAAAAGTAACGGAAAAAATTCAATTGATGAATATGTGTAACTGTTTATTTTATTGGTAGTGGTAATTAAGGCATAAACTTGATTAAAAAAATGTTAGAAGGCAAAGAATGTCATTAGACTTCCATACATAGTTTAATTTGCACAAGGCCAGATAAAATTATTTTGGGCCAAACTTAATAGATTGGTGTCTACGTAATGCGAAACGGCTAATGGGCGATCGCTCGCCTGGCGACGGGGATAGCGATCAATTCGCTCCCCCCCTCCCCCTCCCTCCCTCCACCTGGTTTTCTTTTTTGGCACCGCATTACTTTCCTATTTTAGTAAATTTATGCATCTAAAGTTTATACACCTCAAGTTTACACATCTAAAGTTCAGAGACCCAAAGTTTATAGTAAGTCAAAAGTTTGTATATCCGATTCAAATTTGAATTTGAATTCAAATATTTTTTATATACAGTATTTCTATACATCTAAAGTTTATACACATAAAGTTTATAAGTCAAAAGTTTACATACCCGATTCAAATTTAAATTTGAATTATATCCGATTCAAATTTGAATTTGAATTCAAATATAAATATTTTCTATATATAGTATTTTTATACATCTAAAGTTTATACAGCTAAAGTTTGATTTAAATTCAAATATTAGTTTATAGACCCAAAGTTTATAAGTAAAAAGTTTACATACCCGTTTCAAATTTGAATTTAATTTAAATTTTTATGGTGTAGTAGTAAGAGAAAAAGGGGAGGTAAAGTAGTACAGGTGGAGGGGCACGTGATCACTGGGGAGGGGAGTGAGCGATCACCGCCCATTAGGATTACCCTACGGGCGCCTAATGCGCGACTGACCGCGCGTGGGGTAGGCGCGCGTCGCCCTACTACTGTTACTAGTATAGTACACTAGTACTACTAGTACTACTAGTATTTACTACTAGTAGTAGTACTACTATACTACTATTACTACTAGGACTACTATACTACTACTACTAACAAATATATATTTTTATGTATAAAAAAATATACACATATATAAACTTTGTATACAATGTGTATAAACTTTGTATATGATGTGTGCAAACTTTGTATATGAAATATGCAAACTTTGTAGATGTACGTATTAAAAATAATAAAAAAAACACATCATGTGTATACGTATACAAGTATACAAACCTTAGATACGAACGTGTATATAAAGTTTCTATACACATATACAAACTTTATATATGACGTATACAAAGGATTTATACATACGTATACAAACTTTATATACACGTATACAAGCTTTGTATACATATATATAAAAAGTTTGTATACGTATATGTAAAAAACCGAAAAGGAAAAAAGGGAAAGAAAAAAAAGGAAAGAAAACCGGAAAGGAGAAACCGAACAAGGAAAAAAAAAAGAAAATCGTGCGGGCCCCACCCTACGCACGCGCTGCCGCCGTGGCCCTCTCGGCGCGCGCCACGTGCCTCGCCGCGCGGGAGGGCGCGCGCGACTAGCCGCGCATTAGCAATTTCAACGTGATGTGCCTGTCGAGGTATACAACAATGAAGAATTTAGAGAGGCTTAGGTGGAGACTGGAGATCAATAAATGGAATTAAGGATATGGTCTCTGAGCTTCCGATACACACCTGATAGTGTAGTGACATTTTATTATGTGTGGTTTTAATTTTAAGGTCTTATGTTTAATCATGCGCATAAAAATCTTGATTTTGAAATTGTGGCACCAATAACACACACATAATCCATCAACCATAATTTTTAGCTTCATAATACATGTCCATGATCCATTAAATCGTCATTAAAAAGGAACACCTAGTACCCTAGTGGGTATGCATGTTATGCCAGGTGTACCTATGAATAAGGGGGTGTTTAGATTTAGGGTGTAAAATTTTGGCGTGTCACATCGGATATTATATAAAGTGTTGCATAGGGTGTTTTGACACTAATAAAAAAAAAACTAATTACATAATCCATCAGTAAACCGTGAGACGAATTTATTAAGCATAATTAATCCATTATTAGCAAATGTTTACTGTAGCACCATATTGTCAAATCATGGAACAATTAAGTTTAGAAGATTTGCCTCGCAAATTAGTCGCAATCTGTGCAATAAATTATTTTTTAGCCTATATTTAATACTTCATGTAGGTGTTTAACCGTTCGATCTGACAAGGTGTAATTTTTTTTTGGGAAATTAAACAGGGCCTAAAACATATTGTCCAAACTCTGGATTTCCCCAGCAGCTTGTTCAGGGTATTATTTTTGTGTACCGCGTGCAAGTAGCCCCACAATTGAATCACATATTGTACCGGAGAACAGAATATGTACTGTAGGAATATACGAGAGAACAAGTGCAGAACACTGTTGTACCCACCCCAAAGCTGCTAGAATCCCAATCTTGGAGAAACCAGAATAAACAACTTACGCGTACCGCGGCACAGTGCCGATTCGGCCCACTATACTCGTACGTACACGGGAGAGCACTACGCGACAGACGCCAGTTGGTCGCGACTCGTCGCGACACGGATTCACGGGTCGGGCGGTGCTCCGGCGGCAAGGGGAGCAACGAACGTACGTTCCCAATCATTGTACGCATGGCGGGCGCAAACCGGCGCTCGCCGTCCGCATGTGCGGATGCCCATGTTGCGCGAGGGAGATCATTTTGGCCGTGATCAGTTTGGAGACCTCCCCGAGTGTTTCGGAATGGGCACAGCCACACGTACGTACAGGAGGCTCAAACTGCAACGAGAGGTTGTTCGCCAATAATGGTGGTCGGTGACCGTGCGTTCCCGTGCTGGAGAACATCCAGAAGTACAGCTCGGTTATGCGGAGCACGAAAGGGGGTCTTGCCAACTACTACTGGGCTACTGGCCAGTGGTCACTGGGAATCATACCGAGATAGATCACCGACATCACCCAGGAAACAGGGTGGGTGGTATGCTAATGCTATCCTGATGAGTGACATAAGAAAGATAAGAAAGGAAGTGTATATTTTGTCTTTGTGCTCATTGGTAGAGCTAGAAAATTTTTGAGTTCAGTCAAACTTCAATATAATTATTATTTATTATAAAAATTTCATCATAAATTTACTCATCTTTACTATTATAAAAACTGAAAATATTTTATCAGTACTTTAGTATGTCATCCGTGTTTGAGTTGGTTTTGAAGTCTATTTTCTTTTGGAAATACATATCCATATTTGATTCGGTTTTTAAATTCGTACGCTTTTAGAAATACAGAAAGAGTTGTATAAGAAATCTCTTTAAACAAATTTACATGCTAACTTGAGACAATCGTACTCCTAATTACAGCATATGATTTTGTAAAAAAAAAATCTTTCACATATTGCAAGTTTGCAACGCATGTGTGTTTTTTTAGTTAATATTAAAATTTAATGGAGTTTTCACCGACGAACCTAGATGGCTGCCCGGTCTAGTCGGACAGTGGCTCGGTCACTGTTTTCGCCCCTACAATTAACGGCAGTTGCAATGGCCGTATTAGTTCAGCTGATTTTTCATGCAATTTTGTACAAAGCTAGATTGTTTAGATTTAGAATCTGAGCGTGTGGTTGTAAATTCGTTATCCAATTCCCTTGTCCGACATATGCTTAACGTTTGCCGTAGCTTGACCGCAATACAGAACAGGCCAAAGTCGAGACGGCTCTACAACGACAAAGATCAATTTTGTTGGTCGTGATCTACTCGCTCTAGATGCCGTTTCCGTCCGAGCAATCGTATTCCTCCTGTCTAGACTCTGCATTCTTCTGTCACGATTGATGTCGAACTAGAACGTGCAAGTAATAGTTTTCAAAAAAAAAAAAACATGCAGGTATAATTCAGTCCAGACATTTGGTTGCCGTCAGGACTCAGGAGGCCTGTTGCAGCTGATGGCCCAAATAAGGACAGCAACCAGACCACACGAACAGGTCCATTGGAAGGCCACAGGCCCATAATGTCACAGTCTGCCACGCCCACGCGTCGCCACCACTGGCCACTTCCCACGAATAACTGGAGCTTCTCCTGTTATCCGCACTGCCGCGCGATGTTCCGCAGTGAGCAGTGGCGAATCCAGATTTAAATTGTGGGGTACTAGTGTAAAAAAAATATAATATGATTAAAACAAATAAAGATATATCAACTAAAGTATTTTCCAATGAAAACCACGATCAAAAGAACTTTCTCTATTTTGATTGGTGGCTATATTAAAATATTCCCAATACTTTCTCTATCTGTGATTATGTTGTTATGTATACTCGGAGTATGTTTTGTTTTATCAGTTTGGGCAGTAGAAGCAGTGAGGCAGCAGCCTGCATCCTTGCCATCTGGAAATTTCTTCACTAATGACTAACTAGACTTGTTAATGATTAATTAGGAGCAGGGTAGAGGTGAGGCTGGGGCACCAACCAGCCCCAACCGTGGATCCGCCACTGCCAGTGCGCGCGCGCGGGCGCGCGTCGCCGGAGGGAAGACGGTGAGACGCCGCCAGCGAACGACCATCCGCCTCCCAAAGGTATTCCGTGGTTCCTAGATCTCATCGGTCTTTACTCGTTCGTGATTAGCCGCTTCAGATTCTAAATTTGAATTAGGAAATTGATTTTAGTTTGGTTAAAATTGTGCTAGGGAGTTTATGTAGAATAGCCGTGGCGTTCCATCCCATGTTAACTGGTATGTGGATTAAGCTCTTTGTTCATCTATACGGCTACTTGTCCAGTACTATTATGACCACACACCACCCATATGACACCATTCCACCAACAGAAATGGGTCCTAGTGTTCCAAGAGAGCAAGACTCCTCCTGGATCTTCAGTGATACCCTTCTTGAAATCAATCAGCGATTGTAGATCTATGTTGTTCTCGCGGACAGTTGAGCAATGGACGACGTCACGACGACATTGTTGCCAACTCCATAGCATAGCAGCAGCAACACCAGTTGTACGAACACGGCGAGTTTCGCGGGTTGTTCCTGCTTGGAACACATATCACCTGCAAAATATGAATAAAACAGCCATGTTATATCTCTTTCCACAAGATGAACACCGCTGAGCCTGTGCGTAGGGCATTGGGCATAGCATACTACCAATGAAGAATCGAAGATATCCTCTCTACTCAGAGCGAACAGCGGGTGGCCATGTTTTGCCTACGACGAGTACAGCCGGCTTGGGCAGTTGGGCCCCTGGACAGTGGCCTCAAAAATCACAACTCTTCAGCAGTGTCACATGACTCACATCTAGCGCCTTGCTCTGCCGTGTCTTGACCGCTTCTACTGATCAGAATCGGTATTACTCGGATTTTCCATCTCCAGTAGCAGTAGACCAGTATTCTGTCCGCTTTCCAAAATTTTACTACTACACGCGATGCGGAAAGCAAACAGTCACCGGCGAAGTTTCAGCCGTGTCACGCCACTGCCGATTGTCTTCACTCTTCAGGCGCCGCCCGCGGTTCACTCAGGTAAACTGGCCTTATGACCCAGGCCAAGGCCCAGCCAACGAACTGGCCAACAAATAATGGGCCATATTAACGACAAACGGCCCACAAAATCAAGGGAGAAAGGAAAAAGTACACTCAATGTCCCTCGACTTGTCGTCCAGATAAGAAAACTTCCTCAAACCGCAAACCAAGATATGCAAGGTCCCTCAACTATACAAAATTTTACAATAGATCCCTCGGCGGTTTCGATCCCGATTTTATCTAACGTGGCGGCTGAGTCAGCGTGAGACCCACGTGGGCCCCACATGTAAGGTGCCCACGTCACCCTCTCTCTTCCCCTTTCTCTTTCTCTGTTTCTCTTTCCTTCCTCTCGCTCTCAGCTCTCACACTTGCAGGGACGAGTGGACGACACCGCGGAGGCGGCCGGGAGGGAGCAGTGGGGCACACCGTCGATGCGGCGGCGGAGGAGGAGGAGGACGCCGGCCACCGCGCCGCGGGGGGATCCGGCGGGGAAAGCATTTCTTGGAGGTGGTGGTGGGGGAGGGAAGGTGAGGACGGTGCGCGGGCGGTGGGGGGAGGAGCGGCGCGCGGGCTCCCCTGCCGGCCACCACCCACGAGTCCCACGAGACGGCGGCGGGGGAGGAGTTGCAGATAGGCGGCGGGGAAGGGGCGGCGTGCGGACGGCAGAGGACAGTGCGCTGGCGACGGGGGGAGGAGCTGCGCGTGGGCGGCGGGGGATGGCGGCGCGCGGGTGGCGGGGGGAGGAGCAGCGCGCGGGCTCCCCCGTCAGTCGCCGCGGTGGGCGTTGCGGTGGCACAGTGGCGCTGGGATCGGGATTGGGATCGACCTCCGCGCCGCGCTGCAGTCTAGGAGCAACCTCCTCGCGTGGTCGACGGCCGCTGAGGTCGACAGCCGCCGAGGTCGACGGCTTCCTGTCGCGTGGTGTTCATGCGACGCCGAGCTGATACCAACAGCTGCGGCGACGGCGGCCGTGCAGCAGCAGGTGCCGCTCGTCGACGGCATCGAGCCACGCCAGCGCCCGCTTCCCCGCGGCGTCCGCGCTTCAGGACATCGTCGCCGTCGCCGTTGACGAGGCAGACCGGCCCGACGGCGAACACAGGCTTCCCCATCTCCTTCTCGTAGTGCTCGATGTACCTCTTGTTGGAATTAATGAATGGGCCTTAGCCCACTCGAAGATTAATTCTTTGGAAAATCACAAAAGCCCACTTCATGGGATGGCATGCATGTGGAGTTTAGTACCACCTTGCTTATTCTAGGAGAGGGGGATCTCCTTAAAAGGGAGGATGTCCTCCTAGCCACTTGAAGCATGTGTGGTGGAGAGAAGAGGGGAAACACACGCGCGCGCTCGCTCGCCTCGCTGGGCCGGGCAGGCGGCGCGCGTGCACGACGTACACGTCGAATGGTCCGAAAAATTGACTCCTCACCCTTGCGCAGATGCAGCCTCCTTTTGCAGTTTTGTTTTGCTGCAAATTCGGATTCGTTTTTGTTTTGGAAACGTTCCGAAAAATCCGGTGCGTGCAAACGGCGTGGAGTCCGGATAAGTTACGCGCGACTTATCCGGTTCGGTTACGCGCAGTAGAGATCGTGCGGGCGCCCTGATCAAGCGACCCTTCTCTATATAAACCGACCTGCCGTCTTCACGCAACACTTGCGAAATCAATCTGGGGTTTGCCTCCTACTCTGTACTGCGCCGTCGCTCGTAGACTACTCCATCCCGCTCGCCGGCGTGCACCGGCGATCGGGAGAGCAGGTCTCCGGAACCTCTGCCTTCGACGTCCTGCACCGGGAGAAGGCGGCAATAAGGTTTTTGGGAAGCGCTTCGCGCGACTGCTCCCTGTTTGTTCGCGACGGCTCGCCTTCCTCTTCGCTCGCGTGTTTCGTGTCTTCGTAGACACCTGCGAAAAGTTTCAACCAAGCAACCGGTCTTTACGTCACCTCGGTACGTGTTCAATATGTTGCGCATATTTGATCTGTTCATGTTATACTGTGTAGTTTACATGTATAGATCTAATGATGCGTTCATGCTAGTTTTCATCTGTAATGTCATGATTTATTTATGGAATAGATTAAATCATTATATGTCTATAATCTCAACAATCCAAAAACCTTATTATAGGCACTGTGATTTTACTATGGCTGGTTTTGCCGATGCACTGAGGCCGGATAAATTCACCGGTGTGCATTTTAAGAGATGGCAGATCAGGGTCACTCTGTGGCTGACAGCTATGAAATGCTTCTGGGTGAGTACTGGCAAACCTGAAGGAGTTCTTACTGCTGAACAGCAGAAGCAATTCGAGGAAGCCACTACTCTCTTTGTGGGATGCATTCTTAGCGTTCTTGGCGATCGTCTGGTCGAGGTGTATATGCATATGACCGACGCTAAGGAGTTGTGGGATGCACTGAATACTAAATTCGGTACTACTGATGCTAGTAATGATTTGTATATCATGGAGCAGTTTCATGACTACAAGATGGCTGACAACCGTTCTGTAGTCGAACAGGCTCATGAGATACAAACCATGGCTAAGGAACTCGAACTCCTTAAGTGTGTCTTACCCGACAAATTTGTGGCTGGGTGCATTATTGCAAAACTACCTCCATCTTGGAGAAGTTTTGGTACTGCACTCAAACACAAGAGACAGGAATACTCCGTTGAGGGGTTGATTGCGTCTCTTGATGTTGAGGAGAAAGCTCGGGAAAAAGATGCCGCGTCTAAGGGCGATGGTGGGCAGTCCAGTGCCAATGTTGTGCACAAGGCCCAGAACAAGAGCAAGGGGAAATACAAAGCTCAGCAGACCACCAACTTCAAGAAGCAGAAGAAGAACAACAACAATCCTAATCAGGATGAGAGGACTTGCTTTGTGTGTGGCCAAGTTGGTCATCTGGCTAGGAAGTGTCCACAGCGCAAGGGGATGAAGGCACCTGCAGGGCAGACTTCTAAGTCTGCTAATGTGACCATTGGCAACACTGGAGATGGAAGCGGGTATGGTAATTTACCTACTGTTTTTTCAGTTAATCAATCTACTAATTGGTGGGTTGATACTGGGGCCAATGTACATGTTTGTGCTGACATCTCATTGTTTTCTTCTTATCAGGTCGCACGGGGTTCCACCGTCCTAATGGGGAATGGGTCACATGCTTCTGTTCATGGTGTTGGCACGGTAGATCTGAAGTTTACTTCGGAAAAGATCGTGCAGCTGAAGAACATGCAGCATGTCCCTTCTATCGACAGGAATCTTGTTAGTGGCTCCCGTCTGACTAGAGACGGATTTAAGTTGGTTTTTGAGTCTAATAAAGTAGTCGTGTCTAAACATGGATATTTTATTGGTAAAGGTTATGAGTGCGGAGGCCTGTTCCGCTTTTCCCTTTCTGATTTCTGCAATAAGTCTGTGAACCATATTTGTGGCAGTGTGGATGATGAGGCTAATGTTTGGCATTCACGTTTATGTCATATTAATTTTGGCTTGATGTCTCGGCTTTCCAGCATGTGTTTAATTCCTAAGTTTTCCATTGTCAAAGGTTCTAAGTGCCATAGTTGTGTGCAATCGAAGCAACCTCGCAAGCCTCACAAGGCTACCGATGAGAGAAACTTGGCACCACTAGAACTCCTACATTCAGATCTTTGTGAAATGAATGGGGTGTTGACGAAGGGTGGAAAATGATATTTCATGACATTGATTGATGATGCTACTAGATTTTGCTATGTGTACTTGTTGAAAACGAAAGACGAGGCTCTAGACTATTTTAAAATTTATAAGGCAGAAGTTGAAAATCAACTTGACAGAAAGATAAAAAGGCTTAGGTCTGATCGTGGTGGAGAGTTTTTCTCGAACGAGTTTGACTTATTCTGTGAGGAACATGGCATCATACATGAGAGGACGCCTCCCTATTCTCCCAAGTCTAATGGGATTGCTGAAAGGAAGAACCGCACACTGACTGACTTGGTGAATGCCATGTTGGACACCGCGGGACTGCCTAAGGCATGGTGGGGGGAGGCATTGTTGACCTCAAATCATGTGTTAAACAGAGTTCCTAACAGAAATAAGGACAAAACACCATATGAGATATGGATTGGTAGAAAACCATCACTTTCTTATTTGCGCACATGGGGGTGCTTGGCGAAAGTCAATGTACCAATAACGAAGAAGCGCAAACTTGGACCTAAGACTGTGGACTGTGTTTTTCTGGGATATGCTCATCATAGCATTGCCTATAGATTTTTAATAGTTAAATCCGAGGTACCGGACATGCATGTTGGTACAATTATGGAGTCTCGTGATGCTACCTTCTTTGAGAGCTTTTTCCCAATGAAGGATACACATAGTGGTTCGAACCAACCCTCTGAAATAATTCCCAGTTCAATCACACCACCAGAACAAACTGAACATACACATGAACTTGTCTCTGAGGAGGATGTCAGTGAAGCTCCTCGAAGGAGTAAGAGACAAAGGACGGCTAAGTCTTTTGGTGATGATTTCACTGTGTACCTCGTGGATGACACTCCTAAGTCAATTTCAGAAGCATATGCATCTCCTGATGCAGACTACTGGAAGGAGGCTGTCCGTAGTGAAATGGATTCCATTATCGCTAACGGGACTTGGGAGGTGACAGAGCGACCCTATGGGTGTAAACCTGTGGGGTGCAAGTGGGTGTTCAAGAAGAAGCTTAGGCCTGACGGTACTATTGAAAAGTACAAGGCTCGGCTTGTTGCTAAGGGCTATACTCAGAAAGAAGGCGAAGATTTCTTTGACACTTACTCACCTGTTGCTAGATTGACCACAATTCGTGTGCTACTTTCCCTAGCAGCCTCACATGGTCTTCTCGTTCATCAAATGGACGTTAAGACAGCTTTTCTTAATGGAGAGCTGGATGAGGAGATCTATATGTATCAACCTGATGGGTTTGTAGTTGAAGGTCAAGAAGGCAAAGTGTGCAAATTGTTGAAGTCTTTGTATGGTCTGAAACAAGCTCCTAAGCAATGGCATGAGAAATTTGACAAAACATTGACATCTGCAGGCTTTGCAGTCAATGAGGCAGATAAATGTGTGTACTATCGCCATGGTGGGGGTGAGGGAGTTATTTTGTGCTTGTATGTTGACGACATACTGATATTTGGGACAAACCTTGAGGTGATAAATGAGGTTAAATCATTCTTGTCTCAAAATTTTGATATGAAGGATTTGGGAGTAGCTGATGTTATCTTAAACATTAAGCTAATTAGAGGTGAGAATGGGATTACACTCTTGCAGTCCCATTATGTGGAGAAGATCTTGAATCGTTTTGGCTACATTGATAATAAGCCTTCTCCAACACCTTATGATCCTAGCTTGTTGCTTCGCAAGAACAAGAGAATTGCTAGGAATCAACTGGAATACTCCCAAATCATTGGCTTGTTGATGTACCTGGCTAGTGCAACTAGGCCTGATATCTCCTTTGCTGTGAGCAAGTTAAGCCGATTTACCTCTAATCCGGGAGATGATCATTGGCGTGCGCTTGAGCGAGTAATGCGCTATCTGAAAGGTACTGTGGAATTGGGGCTTCACTATACTGGGTATCCTGCGGTACTGGAGGGTTATAGTGATTCTAACTGGATCTCTGATGTGGATGAGATCAAAGCCACTAGTGGATATGTTTTCACACTGGGTGGTGGTGCTGTTTCATGGAGGTATTGCAAACAGACCATTTTGACGAGGTCAACCATGGAAGCAGAGCTAACGGCACTGGATACTGCTACTGTTGAGGCAGAATGGCTGCGTGATCTATTAATGGATCTGCCTATTGTTGAAAAACCGGTGCCGGCTATCCTTATGAACTGTGACAATCAAACGGTAATTGTCAAAGTGAATAGTTCTAAGGATAATATGAAATCGTCTAGACATGTGAAAAGACGATTGAAGTCTGTCAGGAAATTAAGAAACTCCGGAGTTATAACGTTGGATTACATCCAAACAGCGAGAAACCTGGCAGATCCCTTCACGAAGGGACTATCACGAAATGTGATAGACAATGCATCGAAGGAGATGGGTTTGAGACCCATGTGAGTTATACTATGGTGGTAACCCAGTTTATGTGATCGGAGATCCCGTGAATTAGATCCTGGGAAGAACAAACCATTAATAAACTAAAGGAGAGTACCAATATATATACCCTCTCCAAGTGAAGATGCATATACTCTCGTGAGCTGCAAGGCAGGTTGGCTATGCCTTAATGAGTTCTGTTGGCTTTAATTAGCGAAGATGTTGTCCTGCAGAGCATTTTTGAAAGAACTCACCTTTGTGAGCTTGACTGTTGGTCGCAGTCTATGAAGATTTTGGGTGAATCTTCTAGGAAGCTTACTAAAGACCTAGGAGTATGACTTATACGCTCCACCCGAGGGGTAGTCTACAGACGGTCTAGTATCAGATAAGACTTTGAGTGAAACTTGCTTGCACAAGACTTGCAATTCAAGGCGTAGTCCATTGTTCAAGTTGTGAGTAAGTGTAGCTTGGAGTTCTAGGTGGATGTTCAACCTTAATTGGTCTCCATCGAACCGCTGGTATATAAACAGTATATTGGAAAAGGCAAATCTCAGTGGGATTTTGAGATTTGGTGGGGGATTGTTGGAATTAATGAATGGGCCTTAGCCCACTCGAAGATTAATTCTTTGGAAAATCACAAAAGCCCACCTCATGGGATGGCATGCATGTGGAGTTTAGTACCACCTTGCTTATTCTAGGAGAGGGGGACCTCCTTAAAAGGGAGGATGTCCTCCTAGCCACTTGAAGCATGTGTGGTGGAGAGAAGAGGGGAAACACACGCGCGCGCTCGCTCGCCGGGCCGGGCCGGGCCGGGCCGGGCCGGCGGCGCGCGTGCACGACGTACGCGTCGAATGGTCCGAAAAATTGGCTCCTCACCCTTGCGCAGATGCAGCCTCCTTTTGCAGTTTTGTTTTGCTACAAATTCGGATTCGTTTTTGTTTTGGAAACGTTCCGAAAAATCCGGTGCGTGCAAACGGCGTGAAGTCCGGATAAGTTACGCGCGACTTATCCGGTTCGGTTACGCGCAGTAGAGATCGTGCGAGCGCCCTGATCAAGCGACCCTTCTCTATATAAACCGACCTGCCGTCTTCACGCAACACTTGCGAAATCACCCCGTCGTGGCGCGCTCGCCATCGAACATTCGATTCAACAACTCCCGCGAGCTCCTCCCCCTCCAGCTCCCAGCGACGACAGCGCTTGGTCCTGGCGAGCCGTCGCCATCGCGCCTGTACCTGCTTCCTGCCGCTCCGGCTCCCGGCGCCGACACGTTCCTCCCGCCTCGCCGCCATCAACAAGCCGACGCCGACGCCGGCCTTCCCGCGCCTCCCCGCCGTCATGGCACCGGTCCTCGAGCGCCCTCATGGCGTCGCCGTCCTCACCGCGTTCCTCCCGCCTCGCCGCCACCGCCAAGCCGACGTCGGATTTGTACTTGGGAGGAGCTCGCCGGCCTCCCCGCGCCTCTGCCATGCTTCCCCACTGCGGCGGCGGCGGCCGCCACCGCCGCCGCTGTCGCGGCGCCGCCCCCCTCCTCTCCCGTCTCGCGTCGGCTACCTTGCAGATAAGTGAGAGAGAGAGAGATTTGAGGAAGGGAGAGAAGAGGGGGGGAGAGAGGGAGGGTGATGACGTGGATTACACTGACATGTGGGGCCCACGTGGGTCTCACGCTGACTCAGCCGCTACGTAAGACAAAACCGGGATCAAAACCGCCGAGGGACCTATTGTGACCGGTTTTGTATAGTTGAGGGACGTTGCGTATCTGGTTTTGCGGTTTGAGGACGTTTTTGTATCCCGATGACAAGTTGAGGGACCTTCGGTGTACTTTTTCCAGGGAGAAATGGTGCAGCATCACCAAGCCCAGAAGAAACGACACTGCCTGTATTCATCGATGCTTCACCTGACCAAACTCCGCTGACCGCCACACTCGATCTAGGCTTGCAGGCAGGCGGATCTACCATGGGGGCTATAGGGTCTCGAGCCTCCACTTCCGGTATTGTAATCATAAGAGGCCCCATAAAACCCCACTAGAATTTTATTATGTCATACATTCATTAGAAGAGGGGACTATAGTTTTATACGGTTTGTTCAGCCCCTCCTACTAGTTCTTCTTGGATTTGCCAGGCGGTGACGTGGTCGCCCCGTCGCTGGATGGCGGAGCGTGAACGCGTGATGAGCGACTGATGGCGTATGTGGATGAGCGGCGGCCACGCCTTTGGTATGCCTGGACTCATAGATCTCTTTTTTGATCTAGAAACTATGAACAAAGCACTTTTAGGCGGCGACTCGTTGAGGACAGCCTCGCGGATGAGCAAGGGCAGGATGGACAACGGCGGCGACGACAGCGCGTCAACCGGCAAACTCTCTCCTCGCCGCCTCCATCCCCACCTCCCTCCCGTTGCCGCGGTCTCTGTCTTCCGCTCCTCCCTCGCCCTGGATGGGAGTTTCGTCGAAGCGGCGCCCTCTTCCTCCACCTCGCCACCACCGTTCCCCTCCAGCTCCCCCTTCGCTCTGCCCCTATGGTCCTGCCACCGACGCCCCTCCCCGCTCGCGTGTGCCGACCTCGTCGACCGGGGTGACTTCAACAGGGCACACCACGTCGCGGCGTGCCGTGCTCGCCGCCGCCGACCCTTGGGGAGAGGATACAAGGAAGGCCATAGCGGCGACGAAGGCATGACGAAGACAAAAGAGGCCATGGCGGCGCCCGACCGCGATGTGCTCCTCTGCAGCGCCGACCGTGCCCGCCACACCGTCCTGCCGTGTCCTGGCTGCTCTCCGTTGGCCACCGCCCATGGAGAGGGGAGGGGAGAGGAAGTGAGTTGATGGGGGAGGGTAAGAAGTGGCTGACGAGGGCAGTCTGACATGTGCGACACATGCGGGTCCCACGCCGAGTCAGCTGTTACGTCGGACAATACCGGGGTCAAAACCACCGAATGGCCTAAAGTGAACGGTTTTGTAAGTTGAGGATGCTATATATCTTGTTTTGTGGTTGGGGGACGATTTTGTAACTCGATGATAAGTTGAGGGACTTTTTCCTTGCCAAACTGCCATTCTACTAGGAGCCTAAAAGAGCCTATCCATCTTCGTCGCAACATACTTCCTTTGTTAAAAAAACATAACCTAGACAAGGATGCGACATTATCTAGTAAAATGAATCTGGATGGCCTTTTATCCAGATTCATTGTATTAGAAAATATCACATCCCTCCCATGTTTATTTTTTTTTTTGACGGAACTCGGAAGGAGTAGCTTTGCCCTGTCTTGTTTGGTTCCACTTAACAGCGCGACTCCACGACGTTGCGGCGGACGCGGAGGTAGCACCGTAGCACCCGACCACTCCACAGTCCACGTCTCGCGCGCAGGCGCTGCAGCGGCGGCGCACTTCGCTAGAGGGCGGAGCGAAGAGGCACACGGACGGGCATTCGGCGAGTGGGCATACCGCTGCAGGGTTCAGGTACCCGAGGCCGAGGGTTTCCTCAATCTGACCTCTAGTGATTACCAACTGCAGGTTGGGATTTGGATTTAGGGATCGACCCAACTTAGTAGGATGCGATAGTCCTTATTTTTATGCCGGGGGGATGTGATAGTCCTAGGTCTAAGTGAAAAAAAGTGGATTTGGCGATTGGCAGTGTTCTCCGATGTAATCTGACAACAGATGTGCATATTATGATTCATTTTCGTATTATTAATTACCATGACAAGCTGTTCAGAAAGAGAATCAAAGCTTAGATCCTTCGCAATCCCATTATCCCAGTTAGACAAACTGTAAAAGACGTTCCCCAAGTTTGCGAAACCCAAATAATACACCAATAATACACCATCCACCACAGGCACACAGCCATGTTGCTGTACAGAAGAGTAGTTTCTCACATCCAGTGTATCTGTGTATGCTGATGGCCTGTTTGGCAGTTCATCCACATCGCATTCAAAGCCTACAACTACAAAACATCACAATTACACTAGTTCCATGACACACTCTAACTCTCTCCTGCAAAGCGTACTTTCTCGCTTGGTCGCTTCTGCATAGGAAGTTTTAATTGCATGCAACTTAATAGCTATTTCTCTAGTGTTCATTCGTTCTCTTGGGATCAGACGAGTGCAAGAAAGAGCCACTTGCAATACAGACAACAAGCATATATAGAAACCATTTTCTTGCTTGGCTGTTGCTTGAAATCTCTTGCGTTCTTCTTGGAGTTGAGCATCAATTATCTGTGGTATCTGCTCTGGGAAGTTCTTCTCCACAAAGTTGACAATGTTGAGCTCATTCTCAAACATAGGGTCTGTTGGTCTTTTACCTGTCAGCATCTCTAGAAGTACTATTCCAAAACTATAAACATCCCCATATGTTGATGCATGGCCACACTGAGCATACTCTAAAAGAAAAGATAAAAATCACACTAATTAAACAATGTAATGTTGAAGTATTAATGCAGAAAACAAATTGCCTTTCATGAATCGAAGATGTGGAAATAACCATATATACCTGGAGCTATATACCCTATAGTTCCCTTCAATCCAATTGAGCTATTTGGACTAGAATGTCCAAGTGAGGTGACTCTAGACTCAATAACGAGGTTTGAAATGCCGAAGTCTCCCAAATATGCATTCATATCATCATCAAGAAGAATATTAGTTGGCTTCAAATCACAATGGACAATAGACCTTTCACATTCGTGGTGTAAATAGGACAATGCATTAGCAATGTCCACAGCTATATTCACTCTTTGAGCTAAACTCAAACATTTTGAAGCAACACTTGCAAATTGTTTATGCAACCACATATTCAAATTCCCATTAGGCATGTATTCATAAATCAGAGCTTTGAAAGCATTGCCACTATTGTCTATCGTTGAACATGCAGTTAGGACAGGAAGAAGGTTTCTATGTCGAATGCTTCTCAAGACCTCACATTCTGATAAGAAACTTTTATCTGCACATCTCACTTCAAGGTCAAAAACCTTAAGAGCAACTTGTAGTTTAGTCGGAGCTAACTTCGCTCTATATACTGAACTGTAACTTCCTCTTCCAATTAAGTTTGACTCTGAGAATTTCCCTGTAGCTTGGGCTAGATCCTTGTAAGAAACCCTAGGGAACTGCTTTCCAAAAGAAAGCAACAATAGGTCTGTTCTTCTTGATGTCCTCTTTGCTAGGCATGTAAGGTATATCAGCACTGTGAGTGACACAAAGCCAAATATCGGTACTAATAATCTGACCAGATTGTAGTCCCTCTTTGTTATATCAGAATCCCTTTTTATTCTATTAGAAACTTGAGGGCATGAGAGCATATGGAGATCTGTCACTCCTCCACAAAGTCTTGAATTGCCATCGAGATAAGCAGATGTCACATTTCTGAATACTCCCACTGTTGGTACTTCTCCTTGGAGGTTGTTGTAAGAAAGGTCCAGCTTGCTTAGTAGGGGTAGATAGCCTAGTGCTACTGGGATGGTGCCTGATAAGTTGTTATGAGATATATTTAGTATGGTTAGGCTATTTAGATTGCCAAAAGAAATTGGCATGTCTCCTCTGAGAAAGTTTTGGTCCATTTGGATGGTTACTAAGTTTTGGCACATCCCCAATGCATCAGGTATTTCCCCATTAAGCTTGTTTGATGCAAGTTGTAGGTAGATGAGTTGTCTAAGGTTACTAATCTCTAGAGGTATGGTACCTTGAAGTTTGTTGTAGCTAAGATCCAGCTTTAACAGTAGTTGAGGGTTTCCCAAGGAGGGCGGTATGTGACCTTCAAATGCATTGTTTCGCAGATAGAGCTCTGTCAGCTGTGTAAGCTTGCCAATGGAGTATGGAATAGGCCCAGTGAAATTGTTATTTCGAAGGCATAAAGATTGCAAGTTTTTCAGTTTTCCAATCCACTCAATCGTACCACTGAAACCATTATTATCTAGCCCCAATGAAATTAAGCCTTGAAGGTTCCCAATGCTTAGAGGAACTATCCCTGTTAGGTTGTTTCCGCCCAACAATAAAATTGTCAGGTTGATGGATAGGCCACCAATTGAATTTGGTACGTCCCCAAATAACAGGTTGTCAGCTAGTGAGAGCACATTTAAATTGTTGCAGCCTCTGAGCGCTTCTAAGAATTCCCAACCTTGGTTGTCCCTAGCTTCAAGCTTGTTTGTCTCAAGGTTTAATGTAGACAAACCTGAAAGCCGTCCAAAAGAGTTGGGAATATGGCCAGTAGAATTATTTAAGGATAGATCTATCCCTCGTAGCAATGATGCATTGCCTAAAGAAGCTGGGATATGACCTTCAAACATGTTATCAGCCAAGAAAAGTTTTGTGAGATTAGGGAGTGTATTGCCAATGTCAAATGGCAATGTGCCACCAAGCAAGGTCGTCTGAATGCTTAATATTTGAAGAGAAGATAGATTTTTGAAGAATCCCTGCGGAAAACCACCTGATAGGTTGTTTTCACTTAGGGACAACCACCCCAAGTTTGACAGTTGCCCCAGTTCTTGAGGAATGTTTCCGTCAATCTTATTATTTGCGAGGAGCATTATATTCAAGTTTGTAAGATTGCCAAGGGTTGAGGGGATGTTCCCGGTGAGAAAATTCAAAGGGAAGGCCAATACAGAGAGATTATTTAAGAAACCTATTTTCGGGGGGATTGTGCCCTCTAGCATGTTATTAGAGAGGTCTAAATAAAATAGATTGGAGCAATTTGTGAGTGAATCTGGAATTATACCATCCAAAGAATTCTGGCCCAAACGAAGGTATTTCAACTTCTGAAGATTGGTTAAAGGGGGTATTTGGCCAGAGAAATTATTGCTGGACAAGTCAAGTGTGTGAAGGTCCGTTAAGTTCCCAAGAAAGGAGGTGATTTGGCCTGATAAACCTTGTCCCGCGAGTTTCAGAGCCGTGACTCGCCCTCGGGTATTCGGCTTACACTTGACGCCGCTCCACCAACAGTAGTGGATGCTGGTGTTCCAGGAGCTCAAGGCTCCTCTTGGATCGTTGGTGGTGGCTTTGAAATCGAGCAACGAGAGCACGTCCGTGCTGTTCCCAGCGATCGTCGTGCAACGAATGCTTCCAGTTCCATAGGACAACAGCAACAATGCCAATAGAACGGGCATGGTCAGTTTCACCGTTTTGTTGACAGACATCAGGCCCTCGCTGCCTGCAATTAGTGAAACATAAATATTGCGACATATTATGATCGCTACTGGAGCTACTTCATGGTTACGCAATCAGCCCTACCCTCCAATGCTCCAACTCTGGTAATCTTACAATCCCAACTTCGCAAGTCCTAGTCCCTACCATGCTGCAAATGGAGCGAATGTAAAACGGAGAGTCTCATTAGCACATAATTAATTAAATATTAGTTTTTTAAAAAATAGATCAATATGATTTTTTAAAATAACTTTTTATAGATAATGTTTAAAAAAACATATCATTTAACAATTTAGGAAATTGTACGTGTGGAAAACGAGAGAGTAGAGGTTGGGAGAAGTGAGAAACGAATGCAGTCTAAATGTAATTTGAAACACAAAGTTGTACTACCTCCGTTTCAGGTTATAAGATTTTTTAGCATTGTCCACATTCATATAGATATTAATGAATCTAGACACACACATATATGTCTAGATTCATTAACATATATAGGATAATGCTAGAAAGTCTTATAATATAAAACGGAGAAAGTACTTCATTAAAAAAACAAGGTGCAACTTTCTGAAAGTCCTCTAAATTTTTTTTCTGAAATGTTTCACAGCTCACTCGCAACAACTAATTTTAATACGTACTAACTAAAGATGATGGAGTAAAAAAGCCAAGTATTAACCAAATAACCAGGCATAAAAGAGCAGCGCACCTCTGCCCCTCTGCTTGCCCAGAGTGCACATGATGGAAATTCTGCTTTGTTTGGCTGGGTGGTGTGTGAAGTGTGAACTTTGAGTTGGGTACTAATCTGGCTCACGCCTCAGGGTGCAGGGGCTTAAAACTGGTTTTTCAGCGGCCTCACATCCACGACTTGCATATGCCATGGTCAAGCACTCAAGCTCAAGCCTTATCTCAGCTTTGCCGCCGTTGGAACGAAGACCTTGAGTCCGTCAAACTTGCCAGTTGTTGTAAAATTTCACCTTGTCACCCGTCGCTGCTCGTCACTGTTTGAGCTGGCAAGTTTGTTGTGGCATGTCCAGTTTCAATCAGAGATCTTTACTTTTGGTCCATCTCTATGTTTCATCCGGAACCGGACAGGGACAGAGATTTTGGGTTGGTTTGCTTTGATGCCGGGTGTGTTTGGTTAGGTGGACTTGATGGGATATGATCATCCGATTTTTTTAGTGTCTGGTTGGAGGGAAGGGTGGATAGGGCGGCCCGGAATAGGGAATATTCCCTCAATGAGTGCATCCGGCCGATTTGGCTGGATGAAGCCATCCAGTTTTAGACTGGGTGATGTGTCCTATTCTGATTGGCTGTGATTGGTTTGATTTCCTTTTAAGCAATCTCCAAATGATTTTTTCTCCTAAACCGTTTATCTAATTTATGATTTGATTACACCATTATATTTGTTATAATTAAATCTTTAAAACAAGATATCGGATGATTATATATATATATATAGGTAAATTAACTGGTGCTACATGGAGTATGGGCTCCAAGATTCAAATTAAGTATATACCCAATTTGAATAAGTATGAAATTTTTTTAAATGTTTAGATATGAACATTAACTTCTTTACTAACAAGCTCAAACAAGTTTGAACTGAGTTTGAACTTTTTTTTTGTTAGATTTCGGTTCTAGGTATATAACATTCAAACATATAATTCGTTAGGTATGTAATAATGAATTGTGAAATAAAATTGAGTTTGAGTTGTTTTGTTGTTAGGTATTTGTATGAATCAAATTCATATACCTAGGTATATACTCACAATTTGAAAATTTTTAAAAATTTGAGAGAATTTGTGTGTTTTATACCTTGGAGCCCGAGCACCATGGAGTCCTATATGGGTATCATATATATATATATATATGACAAATGGGTCCCACTAACTTTTAGCTTTTCCCATCCATGCTATATTCCTCCAACCAAACAAGAAATTGGATCGTCATATTCATACAAACCAAATAAAAATTTGGATCGCCATATCCAACTAAATATGGATGGCCATATCCTATTCATGCATAAGGGTGTGTTTGGTTCACGGTTAAGTATGGATAGTATATGGTCATCCATATTTTGTTGGATATGGCGATCCAATTTTCTGTTTGGTTTATATGGATATAACAATCCAATTTCTTGTTTGGTTGGAGAGATATATCATGGATGGAAAAAGTCAAAAGTTAGTGGGACCCGTTTGTCATATATATTTTTTATCAAAATATAATCATCCGAGATCTTGTTTTAAAGATTTAACTATAACAAATATAATGGTGTAATCAAATTATAAATTAGATAAACGATTTAGGAGACAAAATCATTTGGAGCTTGCTTAACAGGAAATCAAACCAACCACAACCAATCGGAATAGGACACATCACCTAGTCCAAAACTGGATGGCTTCATCCAGCCAAATCGGCCGGATGCACTCATCCAGCATATTGAGGGAATATTCCCTATTCTGGACCGCTCCATCCACCATGCCCTCCAACCAAACACTACAAAAACTCGGACGACCATCTCCTATACAGGCTCATCAACCCAACCAAACACACCACTGGAATTTTTGGTGTGGTCAAAGTTTTTGCAAGTTTTTATTCTATAGAATTTTAATAGGGTAGAGATGAAAAGAACGGGTACGATTTTATGCCAGAATTTTGTCACTAGGAGACGAATAGATGGATATACCAATATCGATAGATCTACTTCTCTAGGTGTTGTCATTTGAACATATTTAACATGATAACATCAAGGAAGGAGAGAAATCAGCGTGTTTTCGAACATAAGTTTAAGGTTGTGTTCTTTTGAAGGGGTTGGAAACCCCTCCTCTCCGCACGGAAAATGGAGCGATAGATTAAAACAAAATTAATTAAGTATTAGCTATAAAAACTTGAAAATGGACTAATATGATTTTTTTTAAAGCAACTTTCCCATATAAACATTTTGTAAAATATGTATCGTTTAGCAATTTGAAAAACGTACACGCGAAAAACAAAGGAGATGGGTTGGGAAACCATGGAAAATAACACATCCTAGGCTGTTGGCCAAAATAAAGGAAGAAGCATGAACTTGGGTTCTGGCCGGAGCTAAAAAGCTTAGAGAGTTTCATCCTTCACACGTATAGTTTTGTATAGCCTTTTCCTTTCTTCTCCTAGGGGGGTTGTACATTTCTCTCGCTATATTTAATGAAATAGCATAATCTCGTGCTGATTCCATTCAAGAAAAAAAACATGATAACATCACAAAAAGGGTCTTGCTGGATGTAAGCTTCCTGAGGATTATAGATGTTATCTTATTGCAATGATTCAAATGGTAAAATTATAGGTGCATTTGCACTTGGGAGCACATTAGTACTGCGACGATTCTGAATTACTGATGCCATGTTTTGCTCAGTAACACTGCTGAAATGTGACCTTCAAACTTGTTTTACCTGTTGGATACTTTGGAGGGCATAGCCAAAGTTTGGTGCCAAAAGCCAAAGTAATGTGAGAAGAGGCAGGCTTAGGGCCTGTGGAATCCACCTGATAGCCTATTCTGACCTAGGAGAAGATATGTCAGATTTGCCAATTGCCAGACCCCATCTGGGATTTTTCCTTCAAACTGATTGTATTCAAGCCTGAGAACTGTTAACAGGGTGAGATTTTCAACGGTTGCAGGGATGATTCCAGTGAGATTATTCATACCAAGGTTCAAATATCCAAATTTGACAAGGTTTCCAATGGTTGCAGGGATGATTCCAGTGAGACTATTATTGCCAAGGTTCAGATACTCTAGGGATCCTATTCTAGGAGGAATTGCACCCTGCAGCTGGTTATTAGAGAGGTCTATTTGTGTCAATTTGGAACAATTTGTAAGTGTGTCCGAAATAATCCCATCGAGTGAGTTGTCATTCATGTAAAGAAAACCCAGATGCTGTAGGTGGTTAAGGAGAGGGAACCGACCAAAGAAGCGATTTGAGGACAAGTCAAGTGCACGAAGAAACGTGAGGTTTGCAAGGGAGGAGGTGATTTCCCCTGCCAAGCTTTGGGCGGAGAGATTCAGCGTTGAGACGCGAAACGGCCGTGCAGTGGTGCACATGACACCTTTCCACCAACAGAAGTGAGTGCTAGTGTTCCAAGAACTTAAGGCTCCGCTTGGATCTTTCCGTGATGCCTTTCTTGAAATCTAGCAGTGATTGCAGATCGATGCTGAACTCGTGGACAGTTGAGCAATGGACGACGTTACCAACTCCATAAAATAGCAGCAACAACACCAGTTGTATAAACATGGCGAGTTTCACGGGTTGCTCTTGCTCGGAACACATATCACCTGCAAAATATGAATGAATAGGCATATGATGTATTTTATGTCCATGTGCACAATATGAAATCGCTGAGGCAGTGCGTAGGGCATACTGATAGGAATCGACGGGAATCTCCACTCGGAGCGAACAGCGGTTGCGAATTCTCCCTGTAAATCTGTTTTGCCGAAGACAAGTAGTACCAGATTGGGCAGTTGGTCCTTGGACAATGGCCTTAAAAAACACAATTCTACAGCAGTGTCACATCTGGCGCCCTCGTCCATTTCTCTGCCGTATCTCGAGTTCTCGACCGCTTTTACCGATCCAGATTTTCCATCTCCGGAGGCAGTAGACCAGTATTACGTCCTCTTGCCAAAGTTTTACTTCACATGCTGCAGATATCTAGCAGTTACCGTCGAAGTGTCAGTCGCGGCGCGCAATTGTCCACAAAGAGGTTGAGCACAGCGCGTGCGTAACGTACAAAGTGACCAGCAGTGGTTGTACGGCCCAAGTAAAACACATACGGCTAGAAAAGAAAGCTTCGCTATTGCTTTATCTGTCTCATAATAAAATCTACGAGTGAATATGGTACTGTATAGGGTTAATTGGATCCATGCCACTGTAAATGTGACAAATCAGAAAAATGTCACTACTATAGTACTGTTTACGTTATCGGCTAGTAGCCACTGTAAATTTTTAAAATTAAAACCATGCCACTCCCGTCACTATTTCCGTCGTTCTCTCTCACATCGTTATCTGTGGAGATATATCACATAAGTCAAGCACACACAAGTATTATATTGTCATTGTGAGGTAGACGGGAACTAGGAGTGGTTAGGCCTATTCAAGCCAGAGCCCGCAGTAAATAAGACATGCAGTGCTTTATGCATACAGTCTAATCAGAAAACAAAACAAGAGAAAGTTAACGAACCTCTGCTCGAACAGGGAGCACCGCCACGGCGAACTCTCCCTGTAATCGTCGGTTTGCCGTAGACTAGAGATACTAATTAACTTGCATATACAGCGGGTTTAGGCCCCTGGATACAGAACTTTTAAAACGCAGTTCCACGGCCTCTACAGCAGTGTTGCATCCACTGCCATGGCCCATTGCTAAGAGAAGAGAAGAGAAGAGAAGAGAGAGCGACTCCTTTGGTGTTTACTGTTTACTTCGATTTTTCGTCTCCAGTAGTTTGTCCTCTTGCCAGTGTTCTCTGATTTGCGTGTTGGGGAAATGGGAATGAAATCCGGCAGGACCGCAGAAGATTTTCCTTTTCTTATCTTTTTCCCCTCTTAAGGTAGTGGGCTAGTGGCTGCATATGCTTCTCGCGAGGAAGCGTCTTCGGCGTGGAATAAGTTCACCTGACGTCCCTTTAACTTTACATCGAATTTATATGAGATCCCCAATCCTCAATGCTAGAAATCTCTACCCCTCAACTATCCCTAACCATGTAAAAAGGGTCCTGAGGCAGTATAGACCCAATTTATCCCTGGTTTCACTGACGTGGTGTACGGTGGGCCCCACATGTTAGCGCTCACTTGGTGTCAGCGTCGTCGACTCCTCTGACGAGCCGGAACATCAGCCCGGTGTGGGCGCAGGCCACTGCTGCACCTGCTGCGAGTTGCCGTCGGCGGTCACCGCCGAGGCCACCTCACTCTGGAGCGGCTGCACCATGGAGGGGCCTTCGTCATCGCCTCATACTGCTGAGGCTGCTCCTCTTGCGCGCTTCGTGCCGCCCTTCTCGTCGTCCCCCATGGCTGTCTACGACACGCCGACGCTTGTGGTGATTGTTGTTGTGGTGGTGGTGGTGGACACGGTGACCGCCGCAGATCCAGCGGAAAATGTGGCATGTCACAGATGATCCACAACTCGCTAGTGTTCGACGATGGTCACCGTGTAGTGGGTGGCAAGGTGCGGTCATGGAGCACCATTCACCACCCTCGACAAGCCTGTGGTGGTGATGGGACCAGGGGCACAAGGGGCAGCCGGAGCCATGCCGCGGAGGCGCAGCAGGCGTCGCCGCTATCGGTGCCCGTCTAAACACTGAAGCCGCAAGGCGAGTCATCCTCTAGTGTGGGCTACGGAGACGATAGCAAGCCACGGGCGATGTGCCCGTGCAAGATCTCATAGGATACGCCTAGGGGCGGCGGCGACGGTGGCCATGAAAAGGTGGTGGAAGCAGGTGGTGACCTCGGTGACCGCGGGTCACACCGCCGCTCCACCTCGAGCAACAGGTCGCCGCCCACGAAGACCGCTGGTTCATGATGCTCGCTCGCCTGTCCCACACTCTGTTCCCCGTCACCAAGCCGCTCGCTTTGCCGTCCCAATCACCACGGCTCCCCCGTGAAGGAGGCACCGAGTTGCCATCACAACGCCTGCCTGCCCCACGCTCCATCCCCCATCGCCTCGTAGTCCCTGTCGTCGTGCACGCGCCCCCCGTCCCCTATCACCTCGCCATCCCAATCACCGTGCCTCTCCCCTCCCATCTCATACCGGCCGCGTCCCCTCTACCCCGTTCCCTCCTCCCGTCGCAAGGCGCTCAAGGCGGCGGAGCTTGGCCGGGCTCACCAGCTACATCTCCCCTCTCTCACGCCACCTGCCTCCCAAGATTGCTGAAGAGAAGAGAAGAGAAGAGAAGATAAGAAAGAAAAGAAAATGAGGAGAGAAGAAAAGAGAGAAAGAAGAGATAAGGGCCCCATATTCTTATTTTACTCGCTTACATGTGGATCCTGTAATTTTTTTATTTTTTATTTTGCTTACTAGGATGCCACGTTAATGAAACCAGAGACCATACTGCCCTAGGACCTAAATTTTACGGTTTTGTATAATTTAGGGGTGAAGATTTCTGGTATTGGGATTAAGGATGTCATGCAAACTCGACGTAAAGTTAAGAGGCCAGTGAACTCATTCCTCTTTGGCGTTGCCCCCTGGTGCCAAGCTCGTTACAACGCAGGGTTTGCACGCGCCGTGGCTCTAGAAGTGGGGCACGACTAGCTCACGCATACGCGCTGCTAAAGTAACTCGCGTGCGCGTCGCCATGCCACACGTAGCTAAGCGCCCGCTTAGCGCTAAACACGATTAGATTAGCGTAAAAGCGTAATTATTTATAGCAAAATAACGAACAAATTAGTAGAATTAAAATTTTAAAAGATGAACTGAGAATTTTCAATTTAGACCTGAAAGTAAAAAAATGGATATGGTTTTTTTTAATTTGAGTTGAAAGTTTTCAAACTTGATTTGAAAGTTTTGAATTTTAACTTTAAAGTTTTCAAATCGGATTTGAAAGTTTTCAAATTTTGAGTTGAAAGTTTTTAATCTTTAGTTGAAAGTTTTCAAATTTGGTTTGAAAGTTTTTAAAGTTTTCAAATTGGATTTGAAAGTTTTTCAATTTTGAGTTGAAAGTTTTCAATCTTGAGTTGAAAGTTTCAAATATTAGTTGAAAGTTTTCAAATCTTGATCGAAAGTTTTAAATTTTCAGTTGAAAGTTTCAAATTTTTAGTTGAAAGTTTTCAAAATTGAGCTAGAACCTTTCAATTTTTGTGTTAGAATTTTTTAAATTTTGCATCAATATTTTTGAAAATAAAATGAGTACCTAGCCTGATAGCACACCGGAAAAAATAATCTTGCAAAAAAAAAGAGCTAAAAATCGCGCAATAAAAAAGAAAAAAATCAGGCGAGAAAAAAAGGTTGCACATGAAACGAGGAGAGAAAATCACGGGAAAAAGAGAAAAAAATGCTAACAACTGCAGCCTAGGATAGGGTGGGCCTAGTGGATCCAAATCGTGCGCGAGTTAGTTTGCTAGCGCGTCTGCGTAAGATAGGATTCCTGCTAGAAGTGGTAGAACGGCCCAAGTAGTATACATATGGCCCAACAAAGCAAAGCTATCAGCAGCCGAGCAACCCTGCAGGAGCTGAGGATGGAGGCGCCGCGGCGGTGCACGTTGGCGCCGGGCGGAAGACTCACCGACCTCGCGCGGCGGCGTCTTCCTCTTCTTCCCCTTGAGCTCGGGAGACGCATTCTGCTTTGGCTGGGGGCGCAGGCTCCGGCGGGCCCTCATCGTTACCGGAATCAGACACTTCGTCCTGGCTAAGGCCGTCGATTCTCCTAGCGGGAAGAGGAAGACGTCGCGGCAGCGCACGGATCGGCTTTCGTCGAATGGGCATATACCACTGCACGGTACAGGTAAGGTACCCGAGGGTTTCCTCAATCTTATATACTCCTCTAGTGATCAGTAACTGCAGGTTGGGATTTGGATTTAGGGATCGACCCAACTTAGGTTGTGATAGTCCTAACTCCTGAATGATAAGCGCGGATTAGCTGTGTTGTTCCATGCAATCTGACACCAATTATGCAGATTTTGGTTTATGTTCCTGGAGTATTAAATATTAATCGCCATGATAAGCTGTCCAAAGAACCACCTAGCTTATATCCTTCACAATCCATACTCCTTTCTTAAGTAAATTTTGTCCGCCTATCTTAGGCCGGCCCGGCTTAAAAATATATATCCTTCATGCACAATCCCATTATCCCAGTTACATAAACTGTAGCCTGTAGGAACCGTTCCCCAAATTTGTGAAACCCAAATCAAAGTGTCAATGCACAGTGCGTACCAATACTGCTTTCCACCATAGTCGCACACATAACTATGAGAAATTTTACGATTCTTGAGAAAGTAACTCAAGGTACCTACAAAATATGTTACTTTCCAATATCTTTTTAAGGATGATAAAATTAACCCACAACTATATATTGCAGTACAGAAGAGTAGTTCCTCACACACACATCCAGTGTATGCTGATGGCCAATTTATCATGTTTTATGCACGTTGTATTCAAAGCCAACAGACAACACAATTACACAAGTTCAATGGTACATTGTAACTCCCTTCTTCGAAGCATATCGTCTCGCTTGGTCGCTTCAGCATAGGATGTTCTGATTGCTTGCAGCTTAATAGCTATTTCTCTAATGTCCATTCGTTCTCTTGGGATCGGATGAGTGCACGAAAGAGCAACCTGCACTACAGACAACAAGCATTTATAGAACCTATTTTCTTGCCCGATCCTTTCTTGATTGAAGCCTTTGCATTCTTCTTGGAGTTGAGCATCAATTATATGTGGTATCTGCTCTGGGAAGTTCTTCTCCATAAAGTTGACAATGTTGAGCTCATTCTCAAACATAGGATCTGTTGGTCTTTTACCTGTCAGCATCTCTAGAAGTACTATTCCAAAACCGTAAACATCCCCATAGGTCGATGCATTGCCACACTCTGCATACTCTAAAAGAAAAGATAAAATCACACTAATTAGTACAATGCAACGTCTAAGTATTAATTCAGAAAACAAATTGCCTTTCATGAATTGAAGATGTGGCAATAACCATATATACCTGGAGCTATATACCCTATGGTTCCCTTCAATCCGATTAAGCTATTTGGACAGGAATGTCCAAGTGAGGCAAATTTAGACTCAAGAACGAGGCTTGAAATTCCGAAGTCTCCCAAATATGCATTCATATCACTGTCAAGAAGGATATTCATTGGCTTCAAATCACAATGGATAATAGATCTTTCACATTCGTGGTGTAAATAGGACAGTGCATTAGCAATGTCCACGGCTATATTTACTCTCTGAGATAAGCTCAAACATTTTGAAGCAACAGCGGTATTTTTTTTATGCAACCACATATCCAAGTTCCCATTAGGCATGTATTCATAAATCAGAGCTTTGAAATCATTTCCACTATAGTCTATTGTTGAACACGCCGTTAGGATAGGAAGAAGGTTTCGATGTCGAATGCTTCTTAAGATCTCACATTCTGATACGAAGCTTTTGTCTGCCCATCTCATCTCTAGGTCAAAAACTTTAATAGCAACTTGTATTTTAACTGGAGTTAATTTCGCTTTATATACTGAACCATAACTTCCTCTTCCAATTAAGTTTGACTGTGAGAAGTTCCCTGTAGCTTGGGCTATATCCTTGTAAGAAACCCTAGGGAACTGCTTTCCAAAAGAAAGCAACGATAGATATGTTCTTCTTGGTGTCTTCTTCACAAGGTATATAAGGCATATCAGCACTGTGAGTGACAAGAAACCAACTATTGGAATCAACAATCTGGTCAAATTGCTCTTCCTTTCTTTTCTGTGAGAAACTTGGGGGCACGATGGCATATGGAGATCCATAACTCCTCCACATAGTCCCCTATTGCCTTCAAGATAAACAGATGTTCTGAATAATTCAATCCTTGGTATTTCTCCTTGGAGATTATTGTAAGAAAGGTCCAGCTTGCTGAGTAGAGGTAGATCCCCCAGTACTGCTGGGATGGTGCCCGATAAGATGTTATGGGAAAGATTTAGTACGCTCAAGCCTTTTAGGTTGCCAAGAGAAATTGGAATGGTTCCTGTGAGAAAGTTTTGGTCCATTTGGATGGTCACTAAGTTTTGGCATCGGTCCAAAGCATTAGGTATATTCCCAGTAAGCTTGTTTGATGTAAGTTTCAGGTAGACGAGTTGTCTAAGATTACTAATCTCCCAAGGTATGGTGCCTTGAAGATTGTTGTAGGTAAGATCCAGCTTTAAGAGTAGTGGAGGGTTTCCCAAGGAGGGTGGTATGTGACCTTCAAATGCATTTTTTTCCAGATAGAGCTCTGTCAGCCGTGTAAGACTGCCAATAGAATATGGAATAGGCCCAGTGAATCTGTTCTTTCCAAGATTTAAATATTCCAAGTATTTAAGATTTCCAATCCATGGGCTGATCGAACCTGTGAGCTTGTTTACATCTAATGACAGTTGAATTAACCCAGAAAGGTTCCCTATGCACGAGGGAACTATGCCAGATAGTTCATTTCCACCCAACACGAGATACCGAAGAGTGTTCGATAGGCTACCGATTGAATTTGGTATAACTCCCTGTAGTTGATTTTCAGCTAATGCGAGCACTTCTAGAGCAGTGCAGTTTGTCAACGCATCCAGGAATTTCCATCCTTCAGTATCTTTTGCTTCAAGCATGTTTAGTTCAAGGTCCAACTTATACAAATTTGATAGCTTCCCGAGGGAGGTAGGGATTCTGCCGGTGAAATTGTTAGATTGTAAAACTATTGTTTCTAGCATTGAAGCGTTGCCTAAGGAAGCTGGTACATGACCTTTGAACATGTTCTGGCCCATGAAGAGGTGTTGTAGATTAGTGAGATGATTTCCCATGTTACTAGGCAGAATCCCTCCTAGCAGATTTGCACGTAATTCTAGTATTCGAAGGGAAGACAAATTGAAAAGGCTTGCTGGGATATTACCTGATAGCCTGTTTGCCCCTAGGGCCATCAACGAAATATTTGAAAATTGGCCAAGCTCATCAGGAATGCTTCCTTCAAGTTGGTTGCGTTGAAGATAGATTGTTTCTAATAGGGATATATTTTTTAGGCTTGCCGGGATGATCCCAGTCAGATTATTCCGGGAAAGGTCAATGTAAACTAGATTTCTAAGCCGACCTATTGGCGGAGGAATCGCACCCTCTAGCAAGTTTGTATAGAGATCTAGTTTCCTCATGTTGGAACAGTTTGTGAGGGTGTTTGGAATAATCCCATCCAGTGTATTGAAGCTAAGATTAAGGACTTGCATCTTCTGGAGATTGGCAAGATGAGGCATTTGGCCAGAGAAGTTATTATTGGATAGGTCAAGCGTACGAACAAAAGTCAGGTTTCCAACTGAACTGCTGATTGTGCCGGACAAACCTTGGCCGGCGAGGTTGAGCGCCGTGACTCGCCCGGGGTGCTTGGGGCTGCACCAGACGCCGTTCCAACTGCAGAGGTGGATGCTTGTGTTCCAGTTGCTCAAGACTCCTGACGGATCGTTGGTGATGGCTTCCTTGAAACCAAGAAGAGAGAGCATATCTGTGCTGTTATCAGGAAGCGTTGAGCCACTGATGTTGCCAACACCGTAGAACAGTAGCAGCAGCGGGATAAGCATTTCGTGTACAGTCGTGTATGCAGGTAACCTCTCCGAGTTTTGAGTAACTTAAGCTGCAAAAATACAAAGGAAAGAAGGCACAGTGTTAGCCACTGATTCTATCATATGATTTGCCTTTTTTTTCCTTAGTGCATTATTCACATGTATGCAGTACACTTAATTTTGAGACTCCTAAGTCTAAAGCTAGGTTTTGCACGTTTGTTCTTATCATACCCAAGACTCAAATACACATATGGCATACTTAACAACACGAAATGAAGTGGTATATCGTAAACAGATTGAAGGAGATACTGATGGAGAGATAAAAAAAAAAAATAGGGAACCTTATGAGCCTTCGGAGCGAACCAAAAGTGGAGGATATTTTCCCTGACCAGTTCTCTGGAGATGGGGTATGAATATAGTACTACTTACTAGTGGTATGTAATTAGCTCCGGGTTCATCGCCCAGGGGTTTAGTTAAAAGTGAAATCTTGTGGTAGCCTTCATTGCCGTAGCTTGACCGCATTTACAGAGCTTAAACTCGTCGCCTTCCTTGATATTCTTCCCGCTGTTGTTGCTGTCCGAGTTTTTTTTCTTTTTTGATATAATGTCTGAGTTTTTTTTTGTTCCTTTTTGGATAAAATTTCTGAGCCTAACATTTTTCCTGCATGTTCACTCAAATTGTTCCTGCAAAAATTCTAAAAAAACAAACTTTTACCTTTCCCCATTTAGACGGAATGATACCTTAGAGAGATCGTCTGATACCTAGTAGGTATCGACTGATAACTCGTTCGGAGAAGATGATACTTTCGAGGTATCGCCTTATACCTAGCTAGGTATCATCCCATCCGAATGGGATACTATCATGTAACATTCCCCATATCTACTGGTGAAAATAGGCTGCCTATCGCAGATTACAACTCAATGACTGCACTACATAGCACGAACGGGCAAAATAGGATGTGGCCCAGGGATGGTGAAATGGACTAGTAAACGACTTTTGATGTGAAAATACGGTGGCATGGGAGATCTGCTTAACTCCAGTGCAGGTCCAATGCTAGCCTCGAGTGTGTCAAGGGTGTGCCAGCTGATTTAATCCTGCAATCAGCAAAAAAGAATAAAAGCATAATCAATCGACCGATAGTTGATCGGCCGATAGGATGATAGCATATCGTTGATGGTCTCAGCCGATAGAATTAGACCAAATCGGCTATAATCTGGATATATGAAATAATAATAAACCCTAAACACGCCCAATCGACTGTAATACAATCTATGGAATTCAATAGATTGATTTAAGACAGTATTATGAAAGTAGCCGATGTGACAATATTTAGACCAAGAAAAATAACGTACTAGCTAATACTCTAGTACAAACTTATATAAACAGATTGGTCCATATAAACATATCAAATATAAATCAAGCATGAAGGTGTAGGAATCTAGCCGATACTGACTAAAACTTGATATGCTTATATAAAACGATCTATCTATATAAGTGGCGAATATACATGAAACAGGGGGGTGAAACATGCATATTAGGTAAGATCGGCTGAAACCCGATACTATCCTTATTATGCCTAATTGTAGGCTAGTTTGCATGGTTCTAAGCATGCAAGGGATGATGCATCTTAAAGTATGAAAAGAAACATACAGTGTAGACAATCAAGAAATTAGACACTTTTCAGGATGGTAGGTGCCTTAGCTAATCTAATCTAGCAAGACAATTTAACTAAAACCAACACAAACCCTGAAGTGAGCAACAGCCGATAGAGCTAAATTGAGAAGCTAAGAATAGATTAAAGACATATGACAGCAATGACTCGCGATGTCGAGCCTAACACGTCAGCGCGGGCCATTGAGACGAGTTACCTCTTGCGAAGAACTCGCTGGAAAACGAGAAAAGTAAAACAGTGGCGATGCGCCAAAGTTGTATTGGATTGGCTTCCGTATTACAATGCTATGGGGCTCATATTTATACCTCGAGTACAAACTTAGTCCATTATGGACACGACTCAAACATTTCTAAAGTTAAGAAACAAACAAGACCATATACGGCGATCTCTTACCAAATCTCTAACAAACCGACTCAATACCCTAATTATTAGATACAGTTGCCTTAATCGAGCTCTATCTCTATTTGGCAATGACGGTGTAACGCTCCGCTTTTCGTGAGGCGTTAAAAACTAATTCGGCAAAATCCTAATTGCGAAAATTTTCGTTCTTTGTGTGAGAGTCTAAGTTGTGCCAAGGATCTCAATTCAAATCCCGTTGTTCCCTCTCATCGAAATCAAAATCCTCCGCCTCAAATCTCCTCTCCCAATTCAAGTCTCCGAAATCTAAATTCGAAAGTCAATCCCTTCCTTTGAATCCTCGCCAAATACATTTCCAAATCCCAAAATGTCCAAACCCCCGTTTTGTTTCCTTTCCTTGACTCCACCCTATGTTCCCGAGAACAAATACCCAAGTTTTCCTTTTGAATCTTTCCCATGACTTCTCCTTGAATTCCCCTTGATACATCCCTAAACCCTCGAGTTCGAGTATCAAATTTGAACTCGAATCCAAACCCTAAATCTCTCCAATTCTATCCAAATCAGTTTTCTCTGTAAAAGTCTACCTTACCTCCCTGTGATTTTGGATGGGCCGATTCTCCTCCCCCGGCCCATCTCCCCTCCCAGCCCATCATCTTCCCCCCCCCCCTCGCACGTGCGTTGCACGCATGTGAGCCGAGAGAGAGAGAGCCGTCGCTCGCTCTCTCTGTCTCTCTCGCTCTCGCTGTTTCTCTCTCTCTCTCTCTCTTTCTCTCTCTCGCGCCGACACCGCTTCCCGCCGTCGCCGCCCAAAACCTCCACCGCCTTCGCCCATTCCCGCGCGCGCTCGCGAGGTGGCCGACCGGCCGGTCGCCGCCGCCATCAGCCCTTGCGCCGCCGACGCCACGCGCTGCCGCCTTGCCCCCGCTCCATGCCAAACCGACCGCCGCCGTCATCGTCAACGTCATCCATGGCCCCCGCCACTCCACGCCGCACCCGTCCAAGAGTGGGAGAAGCAGCTGCTCTCCCTCTCCTCCTCCTCCTCACTCACCCTCCTCCTTTTTCTCGTTTTGGCAAGGGAACAAGCCCCTTTCCCCCTTCTTTTTCCTTTTGCCCGACACCGCCGGCGTCATCACCTGCCGCCGCCTTGGCTGCACGCGTCGACGACCGCCAGCTCGCCGCCCTTGCATCCTTGACCGCCCACGAGGTCGGTTTCCTCCCTCCCCAAACCGACATTCCCCGCGCCTATAAAGCCCGAGCCTCCTCCCCATATCCCTCTCGTTTTTCCCTCGCCTTCACCGCGCCATTGTTGCCTTCCCGCTGTCCTTGCCGTCGCCGTCTGTCGCCGAGCACCGAGGGAGCCGGTGCGAGCGTGAACGCGTGACGAGGAGCTCCGGGCGCCACCTCTCCCTCTCTTCTCCCCCGGCGCACTCGCCTCGACGCCGCGCCGCCTCGGCGTCATCCGCCGTGCGCCGCCGCTCGGTCGCGTGCCGCCATCGGCCTTCCACCCCTTTCCATCCCCAAATCGCCGCCGATACCGTTCCCGCACGCCGGTGAGCTCCTCGCCCAAATTCTCGCCATCTGCATCATCTTGGATAAGCCCCGAGCCATTCGGTTGCTCGCTCGTCCCCTTAAACATGCCGCCCCGCCGTTGCTCTGCTTCGCCGCCGCCGCGCCCGCCCGCGAGCCGCCGTGGGCCCTCTCGCCAATACCTCGCACCACCACCGTCCTTGAGCTCCCTAGGGTCTCCCCAAACCATTCCCTAGCGCCGTCGCCGCCCGGCACAGCCTCGCCGCCATTGCCGTCCGCTCCCGAAGGCCGCTGCTCGTCGCCAGCCCTCCTCAGTGATTTTCCGCCCCATCCGACACCGGAAACGGATTCCTTGAACCCCGGAGATGCTCCACCCCCTTTGAATCGAACCCTCATCGTCTCGTCGTGATTTCCCTCTTTGCTCGCCGGCGATTGCCGCCGCCACAATCCGCCGGATTCCGGCCATCCTCCGGCGAATCCGAGCCGTCGGCTCGCTTCGTCTCGTCCCTTCCCTCCTCCCCGGTGTGCTCCCTTTTTCCACTGAGGCCGTGCCTTGCTCCGGTGAACTCGGCCGCCGTCCGCCGTTCATTCCCGGCCTCCCCTTCTTCCTCCTCCCGTTGGCCCGCGTGGCAGCCACGTCGGAGCCACGTCGGCTGCGACCGGGTCAGCCGCCTCTTCCCTTCCCCACCTTCGCGCGCACGGTCCACGGTGCGCCAACCGGCTGCATGTGGGCCCGCTGCCATCCGATCCACCCGGCGCACCGCCCGCACACCGCACCCACCAAACCCTAGCACCGTACCCGCGTGCGCTCTCCCCACCGTGAACCTTGCCGCCGACAAGCGGGCCCCACCCGGGACCCCGCGCGGTGGAATCGGTCCACCGGGCCGTCCCTCTCTCCCCCGCGCCCCATTGGGCCGCCCTCCTCGCAGGCCGTGCCGGCCCATTAGGCTCGCCCGAGCTGCGCAAGTCCCTCGGGCCGCGCCAATGCCACCCGAGAAAAGTCTGATTCACATCCCTCGTCCATTTCCTTTTTCCAAAGGATTTAATAAATCCTTTTCCTTGACCAGAAAATCCAAATTAAACTTCCAAAATTCATATCTTCCCAACCGCTCTTCCGATTGACTCCGTTCCACTTCCAATAATTCCGTAAAATTGAGATCTATTTAATGGCACTACTAATTAGTCTAAATAGGATCTTTCTTTTGGTCTTTTGTTTAGGTTTTCGATTGTTTGCGTATAGTTGCGGTTATCGGATTTTCGTCGATCGCGGGTTTTCTCGAAGATTCGTGAAGCTTCGTGAAGACCTTGAGCAAGGCAAGTCACCCTTTGATCAATTGCTCCTATAATTGAAAAGTCATTATTATTTTGTTTGCAACTTGCATTATTAGATTCACACACTTAACTTGCTTGGCCTCGGTTTGCGTGCCAAACCGACGGACCTACCCAGTAGTCGCACTAATTTCTGTAGGTCGTACTACCCTGAATCCTTGTCGCTCCACCCTTGTGGTACTTCGGTATCCGTGCTCTCTGAGCGCGTATACCAAATATCCCACATACACCGTTGCTTGTCGAAAACTTGGGAAATGGGTTTGTGAAGCCTTCAAAACCCGACATGTGGTGTCGGTGTGTTTGAAAATAAAATGAATTGTGAAAACTCGCGATGCGGGGGTTGTGCCTATGTGGCACTGTCCCGTATTCGCATATAAGGACCGATTCCTGTGGGAAACTCATCGAACATAATCAAGTGCAACCACAAGGTGGAATGGGACACCCTGGCTAAGTAACTAGTCGGTTCAGGGAAACCTCGCATGCCAATAGTTGGGAACGCCGGGGCGGGGTCGGACAAACCGGGTTCCGGGTAAGGCAAGGACGAGAAGCTTGCTCACTTACCGATCAAAGGTGGTTGGAGTTTGAT